TTTTCATACGTTATTTAACTGCACAATGAACATCCACTCCGAATTAAATCAGTATTCACTTCCCGTTTTTGACTAATGACGTTATCAAGCCAGAAATAACTTGTATGTGTACATAGAATGTCTATACCGTTAAAGATGCATTTTTTAAACAAAATAATTGATTGTCCTGGGAAGGATTTAATTTAGTGATCCTTTGTTTTTACATACAAATATTCATAACTTACCTGGACATTTGTTTCATAAAATACTTGTCTACCCGACCACTCTGCGTTTGTAACAACAAACGCGAATCTCTAGTTTCTATTTCTTCGTATCTAGACATCGCCGGGCCGCGAAATTGTTTTCCCCAAACGAGATCGGATAATATCAAAAGAGGGCGCTCTCTGTGTTATGCATATTCATGATGTCCAGGGTTTTTGAGATTAAATAACAAGGAATATTTAATGGTTATCAAATCACCGACGATTGGCACCTGATTCATGGACTGGTTGAAAGTGATCCGAGTTCGAATATCAGTGAACATTTTTCACTTCTTCTCATTTTACCTTTTAAATAACTTAGGAAAGAACGTTTTTCGCAAGACGTAAAGCCTGTCCTCGGTTTGTGTTGTAGAGAACAAGGCATTACATATGCATGTAATGGACCAATGGGAAGCGGATGTCGTTTGGGAAAAATAAAGACTCGCTGCCGTACTTCGTGTGCTGAAAAACATTCTCCATCGTCTCTACAGGAAATCGTAGTGTACTGGTATACGCATGCGCCTTTTGAAAAAATCCCAGTGCGGTTGAGTGAATTGAACGTACACCGATCCTGACAATGACATCATGGGCGTCGCCAGGATTTTTTCTAGAGCGGGGCAAAGCACAATTTCTCCGAAAATCCCTATACAAAAAATTGTCCAGCATTTTCCCGATTGATCATATTTTCGAGGGTGGGCAGGGACATTTTGCCCCCCCCCCCTCCTAACCCATTAAATTAACAATATGCCGATTGCGCGCCTCTTTGTCTTCTTTTTCCCCCTCCCTTTTTTCTCCTTTTTTTGTCTTCTCTGTTTTTTTGCTTGTCGGGGGAAGGGGGCAAGCGCCCCCATGCCCCCCTTCCACTCGCGACGACCATGAATGACATCATAATCTGGTCTTTGATATGATGAAAACAAATGTTGCATTTTTTGGACCGAGAAAGATTTATTAAAAATTAATCTGTGGCCTAGGGAATGTTCAAATAAAATGGAAATTACTACTGGCATGACTGGTGTATTATTATTTGGGGTATGGTATCTTCCGATATCCGTCAAGAATTCAATGCATTTGTTTGCGGTCATGGAATGACGCCCCATAGGGTTAGGGCTAGGGTTAGGTTCAGCCAACTTGAACCAGTGTAACTACACAGTATTATTGCATCGGACCAATGGGACCGTCGGCCCGGACCAATGGGACCGTCGGCCCGGACCAATGGGACGTCGGACCAATGGCACTTCGGACTACGTAACCTTTGTTGCGTCCTTGGGCAAGCCACTTCATCCCCACTTGCCTCTCTCCACCCAGGAGTCAATGGGTACCGGCATTAGCTGGGGAGTAGTAACCTGCGATGGACTAGCATCCCGTCCAGGGGGATTAGAAATATTCCCAGTCATTTCATGCTACCGAAACCGGAGATAAACGCCGGCCTGATGGGCCACATTGGCTCGTGACAGACTTTACTTACTTTAAAAAAAAATAACAATCAAAATAATAAAAAGACAAATATAGAAAATTTACAACAGAAAAATTGTGGTTGTCAAGTCATTAAAAAAGTCGGTCTTCCATACATGCAATAATTATGCAAACGACAAATGCTCAAATTTAAAAGTCTCCTTTTTCTCAAAAAATGTTCTTTGATTCGTGATACATAGCATTTTACCAAATAGGGCCGTATGGTTTTGCAGCAATGAATCACATCATAACTCGCATCCAGGTTTCTTAGCCTAATTGTTGTTGTCACCAACAACCAAAAATAATACGGCCCAATGCTTGCCCCCACGCATGGAACCCGCTTTATTGAAGGGTCACGTTCGTGTATTGGGAGGATTATCATTCACACGCGTGAATGCGAATCTGAAAACTTCCCACGGCAATGACTACTTTTACGGAAGAAAAGCAATCCATCATAACCAAGTGAGATCAAAGAAAGTCGTCGCCTGAAATTCCCCTCGCAGTTTAGGTTTAACAATAAAGCAAACTTGTCCTTTTGGTTTGACAGCACTTAATTCACGATCCGGGTGGTACAGCTAAAAATAAATTTTGTATAGGCTATTAAAGATTCAGAAACTCCAGACAAACAATTTTGTGAAATGGTTTACAGTTATGGTTACGAGAAAAAAGGACGGCGTGCAGGGTTGAATTTGTGTAGGCTTAGGCCTTTTCACGCTACCTTGGTAACACGCAGGCGTTTATGGTAAACATACATGTTTATATATAAACGCAGTGCATGTTACCAAGGTGGCCTGAATAGTAGGATTTATTTTTTAGAGATGTGTGATGGAAACACAAGACCGATTTTTTTTATGATAGAAACACACATTGTAAATATACTTTTTGAATTATGAAAATTTGTGTAAAAAAGGAGAAAGATTGCAAATTGCAAAGACTAAACAATTAATGAATTGGAGAAGTGCTGGCTATGCGCTAATACATGTATTTTGATAGTCCTTCTGGTCCCACTTGTGGAAATTTGGGGGCGAAAGGGGGAGGCTGGACACACCAGATGACGTTAGGGGGCTGTTCATGGTATATATATAGGTTTTCCCAGCCACTTTCCTAAAATGTTCATTAACATCCGAAAATCGGTCATTCATTTTCGTCTGAATTTGATAATCGCTCTGAACACGCGTTTCGTGCATTTTCGCTATCAGAGCATTCGATTTCATTTCCATTCAATCAATTAAGTGATTGAGCAGCACATTTCGCTTATGCTCATGCAGACTCGTTTACAAGGCTTCCTTTTCGCTTTTAGAGGGCGATTTCAAACATTGGCATTCTATTTCACTTTTAGCTTAATGCTATATGATGCAATCTGCTATTTGAATGAGAAAAACGTACTTTATATTGCACATTCACGAAATTGTATGTCAGAACTCTGCGCGAAAAGGCATGCTTGCGTAAATGAATGCACAGGTAACGTAATTGGCCGTCGTTTCTCAAAACCGTATGCACGGACAATGAAAACGATTGAACTTTCGTTGAATTGAAGTGGTATTAAAGACGTGCACTCAAATTCAGACGAAAATGAATGACCGATTTTCAGAAGTGAATGAACATTTTAGGAAATTGGCCGGGAAAACCTATAGGCCCTATTAACCATTTTTTTTTCAAAGCCGAAGCCAGATACGAAACCGAGAATTATGGGAAATGGCCTTTGTGGGGGTTCATTCGACTTCTAGTCAAGCCGAAACGACCCGAAACGAAGCCAGAGTTTCAAAAATCCCCCTAGAAGCCTCAAAATATTCTATATTAGAGAGTTCTGAGCGCCGTAAAATGTAGGAATTGAAGAGATATGGTAATGAACCTCTGGCCCGGACTTGGGGCTTCCAATTCTGAGCATTTTGGATGAGTAGTGGGCTCGAAAGTGGCGCTAGTTTGCCATGTTGTGGAGGGATCGTTTTTCAAGATGGCTACTTTTCCGCTTTGGGGAAAATAGGGGTCGTCTTCTTTGGGTGAGAATATCTCGAAAAGTGAATGGTCAACCCACCAAAAAATGAAAAGAAAACGAAAGATGAGATGTTGATCATCATTTTTCTGTGCAGCTTGAATGCCTGTGAGAGTTCTGAGTATTTTTAAAAGAATTGTAAAGTATGGGCATTTAGCACTAGTGTCAATGGGAATTTATTTGCAGGGTTGCGTCCTATGAAGAATAACAAAGATGGCCGTTTTGCGCATGCGCTGTGCTGCGGCAGTGTTTTTTTTTCAGTGGGCGGAACCTACGAGGGGAAAAAAGTGTTTTAAAGGTATCAACAAGGGTTTTTCCGTAACGGATTCTCCCAAATCGTAAGGGAGCAGTAGGCCATCAGCCGATTACAACAATTGCTAGTTTAAAAAAAGGGGGGGGGGGGGGGCATTTTGAGCTTAAAAGTAGCTGAAACTCAATTTACTGTCGCTGGGGGCGCTCTACAGCTTAGCAGGGGCAAAAAAAGTCATATTTTCGGGCCTATAATAGACCGCTTGCAGACGCGATCGATAATCAAAGTGACGCGCGAAGGTGCGCGACGCCATGTTGTGGGACAAAAAGTGCATGGATAGATATACGCTTGTCCCACAACATGGCGTCTCGCGCCTTCGCGCGTCCATTATCGAACGCGTCTGCAAGCGGTCTATATCGACGGCTCGGATAATTTTGTTCTTTCAATTTTTTTCTTCAAAATATTGACTTTGGAGATATTCTACTTCACCTGAAAGTGGTTTTGTGTTACAATTTAAAAGTTACCTGCTATTATAGGCTGCACACCGGTAAATAGGCCTAAATCCATCCGCCGAGCTCATGAATGAAAGTTATACCCTCAAAATATTCTATATTAGAGAGTTCTTAGCGCCGTCAAGTGGGGGAATTGAAAAGATATGGTAGTGAACCTAGCTCTGGCCCGGACTTGGGGCTTCCAATGCTGAGAATTTTGGATGCTATTGGGCTCGAAAGTGGCGCTATTTTGCCATGTTGTGGAGGGATCGTTTTCCTAGATGGCTACTTTTCCGCTTTGGGAAAAATAGGGGTCGTCTTCTTTGGGAGAGAATATCTCGAAAAGTTAAAGGTCAACCCACCAAAAAAATGAAAAGAAAACGAAAGATGAGATGTTGATCATCATCGTTCTGTGCAGCTTGAATACCTGTGAGAGTTCTGAGTATTTTTAAAAGAATTTTGAAGTATGGGCATTTAGCACTAGGGTCTATGGGAATTTATTTGCAGGGTTGCATCCATCAGGAATAGTCAGAATCTTTTGGTCTGGGAACCAGGCTATTTAGTTACGTGTCAGCTGTAGAGCTCTGGAGGGCGCCCCACAACATATGCACTTTGAAACGTAAACACAGCCTTCATTGGCCTTTGACACATATGCACAGCCAACTTGTACTTGTAGTTGTAGACGAGATTGTGTGAGTATAAAGTGACAAAATAATTGCGATTTCAAATTGGTTTGCGGCTCCCCTAGCAATGGACTGTCCATGCACAGACCATATGTACGATGTGTGACTGTAATATACAGAGGTAGTCCAGTATTTCAGTCACATTTATGAGACTAGGAGTCTATAGTATCATTCATGACTTCATGTACTCCTACTATGAGGCTCCACGTAGTGAAGCCTCATAGATCAAGAAACCCGCAAAATTGCCTGCAGCACAAAACACTAATAAAGTACAAAAACGTCCATCAAAATGGAGACATTTCACACAGAACCGCTGCACAGTTTGCCCCTATACTCCGTACTTTACCTCTTGACTAGCCCCATAAATGTGGCCTATCTATTTACTGGACTGCCTCCATAAACATCCACATGTACAAAAAACGTGTCGACTTTGCCAAATTTTGATTTTCACATTTAGGCTTACTTTGTAGATTTTTTTTGCTTTAGAAGCATTCTCACCCTCTATATAGGCTAATCAGAAAGTGCTGCCTTTTTCAGATGTCCATTTTTCGTGAAATTTCCAGATACATTTGATTTGCACACGTTTGCGTATCAAAATTTCAACATGAAATTTCACAAAAATTAGACATCTGAAAAAGGCAGCACTTTCTGATTAGCCTATATAGAGGGTGAGAATGCTTCTAGTAAAGCAAAAAAAACCTACAAAGTAAGCCTAAATGTGAAAATCAAAATTTGGCAAAATCGACACGTTTTTGTACATGTGGATGTGTGGCCTATGTTTACGGAGGCAGTCCAGTAAATAGGCCACATTTATGGGGCTAGCTTGTACCGTACCCCCTGCGGCGCGCTCCGAGCGAACCGAAAATCATCGCTCGATCATATGCGTGCACGTTTCAAGTGTCAGGTTGGCTCAGTGCGGAAAGGGCATATTTTTCATCATTTTGGCCTAAAAACCGACAGAATCCACCTATGTTAGTTCTGCGCATGATACGTGAGTATGTCAAATGGTAAAGTACGGAGTATAGGGGCAAACTGTGCAGCGGTTCTGTGTGAAATGTCTGCATTTTGATGGACGTTTTTGTACTTTATTAGTGTTTTGTGCTGCAGGCAATTTTGCGGGCTTCTTGATCTATGAGGCTCCACTACGTGGATAAAAACACAAGAAACGTCCCGGACCTGAGACTAGCCATTGCTATTAGTCGGGTTATATAACTGTTATTCTTTTTCCCAGCCAATAGATTACCATGGCATTGCAGCAGCAACTTCAGCCGCAGCAGCAACCGCAGCAGCAGCAGCAAGATTTCATCGCTGGTGTTAGACTGGAAGAACAGATGAACACAGTGCTGTGGCATGGCCAGTTGGAATGGCTTGATGTTGTACAAGTTAGTAGATGGATTTTGGCAAATTCAGGATACTTTCTAGTAAAAATATTCAAGGGGTTAGGGTAAAGAATTGAATTTAAAGGTAAAAAACAGCTGTTAGACCAACAAAAAAAAAGTCTGTCTCTGGTCAGCGCACGCGTCTATTCTAATCATGCGCGTCAATCTTTTTTTCCCCCAAAATGTTCCACTGTATCTCCAACAGTGCCCTCTATTGCCGCACCTCCTCAATTTTTTTTTATCAAAGAGCACCAAGGAATGGGAAATTGCACCAAGGCAAATGATCGAGAGCACCAAGGCAAATTATGGAGGACACCAATGTACATGAGGACACCAAAAAAGCAAAAAAGTACCCCACCTTGTCTGTACAATCCAAGCTTGAAGAAAAAAAAAAGAAGCAAAAAAAAAAAAAAAGCCGCGTCCCCACGTCAATTCCGGAACTTCGGTCTGACCAGAGACTGAATAATTTTTTTTGGGACCTTATATGTGTTTTTTCCTGTTGAACTTCCCTATGTGCAAAGTTTTCACTTTTTTTCAAATGGATAAGTCGCGTTTTGGAAATAATTGATTTCTTAAATGTGTTATCTTGAACGTTCCATTCTCTGGCAGGGTCCAAGGATTTTTGCGTCAGAAACTGATCAGATCACTCGTACTCACACCTGTCACATGAGCGTGGGTCCTAACAGCACTCTGAATGCGGAACGGTGGCCAACCAAACTTACCATGCAGCTAGTTCCAACATGGCTTCTGGTAAATTTGTAATTTTATTGGTTTTGATAATGTGGGTTTTTGTGTTTGTTTGTTTGTTTTGGGTTCCTTTTTTTTGGAGGGGGGGGACTTAATTTTTTCTTTAATAACAAGTCAAGTTTACCATTAACCAGTTAACATGCTTATAAGGCCAAGTAAGCACTGGTAATGGATATTCACAGTGGCTGATGCCGCTTTAAAGGTATAGTATATCATTTGCAGCTATCCAAAAAGTAACTAACACAATTATTGTTGAAAAGCTTACTTGGTATTTAATATACATGTAGTAATGGGACTAAGATCCTGTCATTTTGAAGAAACAATATTAAGAAGAAAGTTGCTTCCAAAGATGTATCAGAAGACGCGTATTTGGAAATTTCGGTTAGTAGTTCATTTTTAATTGGCAAAGCTGTTAATTGGTGCGTGCAAGCCTTGAAACGAAGCACACAGGCGCGCAGTTGCTATAATTTGTCGGTTCAGTGCGTGACATCGCGTAGCTGCAATGCAGCTGTATGAGAACGTGTCCCAGACGCTGATTTCGTGCCCAATTCAAAACATGACTCGGCACCTTTAAAATGAAATCGAGACCCTAGAATATTGTTTTCTCAGAATATAGAGCATTCACCAAGCTAAAACTTCATCAGGTTAGTTGTTGAGCACCCTTCTTTAGATTTTGAGCACTTTTGTAGCTTCAAACAAAAAACTGCACAAATGACAAATGACATGTAGTGTGTACTCTACCTTGAAAACGTCAAGCCTACACCGAGGCTTCGTCGGTGGACGTGTATACACATTCCCATGGATTTTGCACACAGACACACAACGTCTGGCACGTCCATGAAGGAGGATTGTGTCTTGTAGCAAATATCCACCCTGGCTGAGCCTCGGAGTGTTGCACATAAGTTATACATGTAGTGAGAAGTTTACCATACAAATATAGTATACATATGACTCTCAATGTCAGTGACTGTGGAGTTGGCCTTGATTTTAAAACTTGGGCTGGATCATCATATCTTTAACCCTAACAACCCTGAGCCCATCAAGCTCCAACAGCGGGTTTTGCTTGATTTTAGCAGGGTTGGTACTGAACACTGGCCAGCTGGTGTTGGACTTTGATTGACTGGGTACCAAAGGCCCAGGGAGACCCTGTTGAATTTTGTGAGGTTCGGGGCAGAAGGGCATGAGATTTGTGAACACGTTGGAGTTTGAGGGAGTTCACTGGCATTTCTTCGTGGGTATGCTCACCCCTGGTCCTCAGCACAGTTTGTGGTCAAATGTGCATGTACATATTGCTTTATTTTGTTAGGTTTGGTACCATCCCTATCCAATCACTCGACATATAGGCCCATCCATACCAAGTCAATCAAACTCCAACAGTTGGAGTTTGGCAGGTTTAGTACTGTTCCCCGTACAAGGCCTGTTGGAGTTTGGCAGTTTTGGTACCAGTGCTTACAGACCTGTATGCAGCTGTTGAAATCTGTTAGGTTTGGTATACTTTCTAGTGCAAGAGCCTAGGGGGTTAGGGTTCAACAAAAATGGCGTATTTGGCCTAAAAATAAACCGGCGTCAAGTGGTTAAACATTTGAATCGTCTTCCTTTGACCCAGAATCTATAGATAAATCATCCGTTCCATCATCAATATCATCGTTTCATTATCATCATCCAGTTTGCAGCATTGCTTTTGCGTGATCCCAGGCTACACGATATGTGTACAGGTTTAGAGTTTTCGACTGGCACCCCTTGAGTTTGACTTTGACAAATGTGTCTATTGTTGCAGCAGTTATAAGCTTATTTGGCCTATCATGTTTGTGATTTGTTTTTTCATTGCAGAATCTATTTGGTGCACTGAGGTCCTCATTACAGAATGGATCTGAACAAGTGAGATTCCAGTTTCCGGACCAGAGCAATGACCCGAATGAGATGAGAGCCCTTCGAAGAGTTCTGCAAGGCGAATATGTAAGTGCTTTTCCTGGGTAAGATTAGATTGATTGATATAAAACATGTATCTTTCATATGTGGATCTGCGTTATCACTCAAAATGCACTTGCGCGATTGGTCCTGTAGGAAATTGTAGACTTTTTTCAACAGTCCTCCTGAGCTGTGATCTAGAAAAGGCAAGTTCCTGGTCCATCCACTGCGTATTTCGAATGATCCAAAGTTATAGGGGGCGGGGATTAGTCTGGGAGACCATCGCAAGTTAAATTCGAAAGTATTCGCGCGCTTACGATGCCTGACGCTTACGCGCGAAGACGCTATGGCTCAGCTTTGTGCACATTAAGGATAGAAAAGTCGTGCGTACTTCGCGCGCGATCCATTGCAGTACGCACACGCCGTGTCCTGTCCAAGGGGCTCTCAAAAGTGGTAATAACGCGACTTCTTTTGTTTGGCGCACAGAGCCCATAGTGCAGCACGATCGACTGATTACATATCCACTGACCGCGCCCAACGTTTATACCCCTCCTTTTTTGTTTGTTTCATTATAAAAAATGGAAATATATATTTGTAGGCAATCAATAAATTGTCAGTTGCAAGGGTTTTATGGTACCACCACTAGCCATACTGGGGCTAATCCTTTAGGTAGAACCTAGTCTGGTTCCCAGACCTGACAATTATTCCCGACGCTCACGTCTTAAATTGTAGGTCAGGCAGCCTCCGTGGCTAAAAATAAACATGACGACATTAACCCTTACTCTCTGAGGGTAGTTTACTGCATGTCAGTTGGTTATGCCAATGCCCTCCAGCTGCAGTTTATTGGCAGATAGTTTTATTTAACAGTGAAGGCTCCAATTGGCAGGAGTTGGAGGCCCTGGAGGGTGCCTGATACTGACCAGCTGGGGGCACTCACTTTGTTATCAGAGGACTCTCATTGTTCTCTGTGGCATGTATTGGAGTGCCTGTCCAGTTACCCTTAAAATAACATGGCAGATATTGGAGGGCCATGCAAAAAACATAGGAGATTTTCTTGAGGCACATATTGGCATGCATTGGAGGGTCTAGTAGGGTAAGGGTTAATGGCCCTTTTTCAAAGCGCGGCTTCGTTTCCGATTTCGCTTTACCACTGGTAGCTTTCAATGTTCTGATCAAATCTTTAAATAAATCACTTCCTTTGTATGATTATACAGTTATGATAAAACAGTTTGATGTTTTTGTAAGATAACATTGAATAATGTTGATCTGGAATCTTCAAAATTACGGAACCAAATAGCACTGTTAGCAGGCGGAGCCGAAGGAAGACCGAGTTTTGGAAAATCTCGGTAACGGTCGTCAAATTCAAAATTGTACATGACGCAGCAAAAAGTTCGCCCGTACGATCCGAGTATATTTGATGCACAAAATCGTCGTTGAATTTCAAGTTTTCTAAATGAAAACAATGAATATTAATTATCAACTCATTTAAAATAAAATTAATAAGCAATTAGCAGTTAATTAAACCTATATTATATACTCGGAAATACTCGGGCGCTATCCGATTGTCGACGAAACAACTTCGGCAAACTTCGGAAATTTTCGGAAAAAGGAGGAATTCCTCCCGTTTTAGTCACGTGACGTAAATTGTAATACATTGTATTACCGGAGGCTACCGGACCTAAGATTCATCAGGAATAGTCGGAATCTTTTGGTCTGGGAACCAGACTAGGTAGAACCATGGTTCTACTGACGAGTTGGACCATTCCTAGGTCTCGTTCCTGTGTCCCCTGTAAACAATATGTGGACTAATTAAACTAGAAAAAGCCCGGTGGTTGGCCATTGTTGGAATTTGACTATACGAAAATTCCACCTTTCTTGAAAATGTCAGCACAACAGGTGCCACGATCTTACAGGATGCTTGAGACTACTATTCGCAATAATTTGGTAGTTTTATATTTTGATGTTTGCAAATGTTGTACATTACCTTTGAACTAACTAAAACTTTGACACTGCGAGAAGATTGTTTTGGGTAATATAATAGTAAATTGTTTTTACCACCAATCTCACACATGTCACAAGGACAAATATAAAAAATTCTGGGTAATGAATAAAAACTGAAGCATTGTAATAGTATTTTGAAGAAAAACCTAGCAAGACACTGATACTTTTTTGTCCATTGTGACGTCACTACTAAGCTCATGAATATGTAAGTTACCAAACAATTATCCTGTCACAAATTGACAAGGTTACATCTTAAAATAAATTGGTCAAATGTCACCAAATCTTCTGGTTCCCGGTTTGATCTTTCCTCAGGTCTTCAGTGTTCATTTCCCTAGTGATGGTTCACGCAACATTCGTATTTTGATGCTGGTATATTCCCAACGGCGGTCGGCATTCGTTGGCTTGATACCCAATGACCAGACAGAATTCATGGACCGGTTCCAAGACATCATGAGCAGAGTGAAGTCCGACAGAACACTTGGCCATTCGGTAAGGAGGTTTGGGGATATTTTCCATCAACTGCTGGGTCAGCATATCATCACCGACACCACGAAGTAACACTCCACGTGTTCAAGGGAATATACATCATTTGCTTTTGCTGTAATTTTCAGAAATGGATGGAATTAGGGGGTTGGAAATATATAGCAAATATAGTTACACTGACTTTTTTGAGGTTTTGGGTTCGAAAATGCTATGAAAACCAAGAAAAACAATCATTTTCCTGTAGTCTGGTTCCCTGACTCCATATACATGTAAGAAGAAACAGAGCAGTATACATGTAAGAAGAAACAGAGCAGTTTACATACATTGGGGAATTGTAAGGTCAGGGAACCAGTCTAGCTGGCTCGTACCCGTTCATAGGTTTGTAATCGATTGCAAACAAGTGCGATGGTCAATTGGGGCCAGTATTTGAAAAAAAGCCAGTTTTTTCCGATCGGCCGATCAGCGTTGGAAATTGATACAAAAATACCACTTTTCTTGAAAATGACAGTATACCAAGGGCCATGATTTTACAGGATGCTTTACACTGTCATTCACTAACAGTCCAGCAAGGTATTTCCAAATGATTTGGTAGTTGTATTTTTTGATGTTTGCAAATGTTGTATTTTCCCTTTAAACCATATTTTTTTTTTGGTTTTCAGTTTTTTACATTTTTAACCATTATTCATCAAGGCCTACCAGTGCACAAAGTTTCAAAGCTTCAGGAGCTTTACTTTAATAATTACGCTAATTATCCATGGCAACTTTTGCGCGAATGTGACAATTTTTGTTTTCACGAAGTAACACTCAAGTTCCATTTTACCATTGTAATGCGTGGTACGCACTCTGCTCAAATGCGAGCAAAAACGTTTTCATGAAGTAACACTCTCCTTGTATGAGCGCGCACGTGCTGACCCCGTTTTTTGTTGTAATACATTGAAGCGTACTACTTCGTGAAAACGGAAATTTACAGTTTCGCAGCTTTTTTGGTTTCACAAATCACTCAAAATTTTTCTCTTATTTCTTGATGATTTAATGTACAAACAGGAGGAAATCAGTAAATCTAATGAATTCAATTCATCAAGTGTCCACGACAAGAAACAAAACTGAAAATACTCTGCCATTTTGAAGCAAAGTGTTGTTCTACCGGTAGAAGGCCTTCAACTTTAGATGCCGTTTTCTCTGATTGTTAGTTTTTACTGGTATGTACATGTACATGAGTTTAACTTGGTGGTGTCATCACTGACGATATTTGTGACCATATTTCCAGGGTTGTTCTCAAGGTACTCATGAAAGATTACATGTCAACTCACAAGTCCAGTCACAAGTGGGTGGCATGGGTGGCTTGTGCGTAAAGCGCTCGCCTCTCACCAAGGTGACCACGGTTCGAATCCTGGCCGCGGGTCACATGTGAGTAGAGTTGTGCATTGGTTCTCTCCTGTGCCACGAGGGTTTTTCTCCGGGCCCTCTGGTTTTCCTCCCTCCGGAAAAATCAAACACTTTCGATCTCAGGCTGTGCTCCGTGGTCATATATGGGCCGATGTGGCCGGCAGCCATAGGCGCCTTTACGTGCCAGCGGCCCGACCACGTTGTAGCCGCGTCCTTCGCAATTCTGCACACCAGCTGCCAGTAAGGATGATTAGCCTCCCAAATTATTATTATTATTATTATTATTATAAGTAACAGCTAGGTGATGGGCCTTTGTCGCATTTCATTTCATGTATGGCCCAGTTTAGGAGATACGACCTTGTTGCACGGACAACGATATGTGATATACGCACGTGTAGTCGACGTATCTGTAGAAAGGCTTTACGATCACACAATTATAATTTCTGTAAAATTCCCAAGATTTCCCTGGGCAACGGGACAATATGTGCTTAAAATTTGCTCACAAAGCTTTAATTTGGGGCAAGGATTTTGCAAAATCTCCAAATGGCCTCACTGGTAACCGTGAAGCGGCGAACATAAGAGCCATGGGCTTGGCTGGCTCCTGATTCAAGAATCCTCAGTTCTGCGACTTCAATGTTAGTGGTATTGAGGAGGCGGGAACTAGACAAGGCCGTACTACAGACTGCAACCGCGCTAGCGTTGCGTTCCAGGTTGAGCTATGGACTTGATTCAAAAGAAATGTACTCGATTTGTACCAAACCATTGAGTCCGTGCAAAATTTGAGTGCAAAGAATCGAATATGGCCGAGTCCAAATAATTTTTGAGTAGTCGAGTACGGGCTGAGTACTTGCGTGTACTCGAGTTGTACTCGAATACGAGTACGAGTACTCCAACACTGCAAGTCACAAGTCATTTTTTTCCAACTCAGGTCAAGTCTCAAGTAAGAAAAAAAGCAAGTCCAGTCCGAGTCAGCGACTCGAGTCAACAACGCTGCTCAAATACAACACTACCGTAACCCACAAAGTCCTCAGGAGTTTTTTCAGTGATGTAAGACGAGTCCACCTCATCCGAGTCCAAGCTGAGCCGGCTCGAGTTCGAGCCAAGTCTGAGACTGAGTCCATTTTTTGTCCGAGTCCAGCTCAAGTCCGAGTCCAAATTGTCAAGTACGAGCCAAGTTCAAGTCCAGTCCCGAAAAGTTTTTTATAGCAGCACACATACACACAAAAGTACACTGAGAATACAGTGACTGTCGGATCGGTCTCTTGCGACTATTTTACAGCCTAGTGAGATGCAGTATCTCAAAGAGATTTTCCTAGGTAGGAGTTAAAAGTTATCAGACGACAGACGCGGGACCATTTACAAACCTTTCTTTTTTCTTCTTAAGTTTAAACACAGTTTTTTTAAAAGAACTTGAATCAACATGATCAAGTCCGACAGGTAGTCCGAGCCAGCCACTAACCAGGTGGAGCCAAGCGGAGTCCAAAGGCTATGAGTCTGAGCCGAATCATGAGTCATTAACAATGGACTCAAGTCTGTACTCTGTCCTCCATCACTGAGTTTTTTACCGGTGCATTAAAAGTTTGAGCATACCTATTTCTTCCTTTTATGTTTCAAGTGATTGTGAGAATGAGGATGATACATTGCTGGTGTCTCAGGACTCGATAATCTTCTGTCTAAAATGTATTTTATGCTTAAGTTATTGCATTCTACTTTAATTTTGTTGTTAACAGACCAAAATGCTAACAACTTTGTTTCATTTTCTTGTTGTTTAATCTCTCAGCCTGAAGGGATGAGTGAGCAGTTGCAACAGCTGCAGCAGCAGCAAGCGCTGCAACAGCGGCTGCAGCAGCAGCAAATGCTACGGCTGCGACAGCAACAGCAGCAGCCACAGCAGCTGCCCTTGCTGCCACAACAGCGATTCCAACAGCTGCTGCCACAACAGCAATTCCTGCAGCTGCAGCGAGTGCGGCTGCAGCAGCAGCGGCAACAACAACAGCAGCAGCAGCAGCAACAACAGCAGCAGCAGCAACAGCAGCAACAACAACAGCAGCAGCAGCAGCAGCAGCAACAGCAGCAACAACAGCAGCAGCAGCAGCAACAACAGCAGCAACAGCAACAACAGCAGCAGCAGCACCAAATGAGTAAGGTGTTATGGCAAGGGCAACTAGAATGGCACGAGGTAAGTTCTTTCATCGATTCAACTCCAAAACTGATTAAACCCACAATACAATTGTGAAGCAAATGTACTTACTAGTGCAGGGCCCGTCGGAAAATGCGTCTGTTCGGTGGGGGCAATTGCAAACTGCTCACATCATGCAAACAACGCACACGATTCAATTGTGTTGTTTTCACAGGTTGAACTCAAACTCACAGGTTGAACGCACTTTGTACATGTAGCCAGGCCATTCCCGGCACTGATATTCACCCATACTGGACAATGGTATCGCCCTACAGTGATGGTTGCTCAGTCACCTGCAAAAAGCATGTCCCTGTGCAGCTACTCACGTACGTGAGTTCCGGAAACATGGTACGCAGTGCATGCTATTCCCCAATACTCTGGACAATGATCTCCCTACAATGCGTGTGCCCATCCTTTTTTCATTGTTGCGTCATATTGAGCACGCGCGCTTTAGCCCAAACATAACGTAAACAATTGAAAAGGACTGTGCGTGTTCTAGGCTATAATCTGCCACGTTGAGGCTCAGAAAATGCTGCTTTATTGCAGCTTTTTCAAGAACCGCTCGTCCAAACAACTTCCAACTTGGCACTGCACATTCTGTGGTCCCGAGCAATATACCCGCCGATTTTCAACTTCACACGATGCCCCGTTCTAGAGATAATCGAAATACAGACGGGACAGAGATTCCTGGAATTGTAGTATAGATATCTATTCCACCCCGTATCCTTCAAATTCCATCTGGAGCTTTTGTAGGATAGAAGAAAGAGGGACGTTGGTCTGGGCTTGATGACTGCCAATCTTGAAGCTCAAAGAATGTGCAGCTCATTTCTTAAACAAGTGACTTAATTTGTAGAATATTTGCCCTGCACCAGGTGTAACTGCTTCTAGCAGCTTTCCGAGTTAGGGCCTGTAAACTCGGATAGAATACAGCACTTCTAGAGGTACATGTACACTCTTATCTTGTTAATCCCTTTGTCAACAAACTGGCCACTGTTATCATATACTGCTGCTAATCCCCTGCACTTGTCAATATCAGCTGAGTCACAGCACATGTGGCTTTATTACACTAAGTGTTAGGGATTATAAAGCCACTGTTCGGACAAAGGATTACGATAGATTAGAGGGCTGGCCAGTTTACAGCTAGATTGACTGTTTTCTCTCAGAAGTTTTTAGTGGAGGTTACACACAATGGGGAGGTAGGATTAATGTTGTTGTTCATCATGTTCATGTTCCGTTTGTGTTGCTCTCCAGCGCCCCAAGATGGCCGCCAGTGAAGCTAAGGTCACTTGTACTCACACGTGTCATGTGACCGTCGGACCAATCAGCACCCTGACCGTGAAGCAGTGGCCACAGAAACTTATCATGGAGTTTATACCACAGCAACTATGGGTAAAACACATGCTTGTCAGTGGAGTTATACAAATATTGAGTGGTTCAGCGTGGAATGGGAGGAATATTATCGCAAGGTAAAATCTGGACTTTTCCATTTCACGGTGCGAAGCCGAGTGAACCGGAAAAGTCCAGATTTTACTGAGCGATAATATTCCTCCCATTTCACAATTTAAAGCCACTCAATATTTGTTTTATATAACTGACATATAGATCCTTGTCATTTGATACATTTGAACTTTTATTTCAATACAAAACTGGAGGAAAATGTCTTTCTCTCTTCCAAACCAACTTTTCACGAAAATGTTTGAACCCAACGCTGTAGCGCCGGCTCTTTGAAACAATACGCGCTACGCGCTACGCTGAATGCGCACACCAGCATGCATTTGCACACAAATACCACGTCACGGAACAAGGATGATCCTTACTGTTCAATAGTATTTCCCATTTCCCATGGGCACATAGTACTTTTTGAGCTGCGGCGTGAATGGGAGCAATTACGAATGTCACGTGATGTGAGTTCCACCAATCAAATGACAAGGATCTGTATGTCAGTTATATAACTCATTCTAATTATTTTTGATTGGGAGAAAGTGTGGATGAATCGTCTTCCGACTATTCAACCATATGTAATGCGATCAAGCTAAATGAGTCGTTTGTCAGAAATTTTTATTTGGAGATAACGGGCCAAAATAGGGCCACTTCATCATATCACTTTATCACATCTTTTGGTGCTCCAACTTCCAACTAATTTTTGAACTAAAGATGGTATCAGCATGCGGTTTTCACAGCAGTAATGCTGAGATTGTGCTCTTTTCAAATCTGTAATAACAAAATTTTGACCAGGGTTGAAACGACTCATGCATCTTGATAGCATCACATTTTGGCTCAACATCCAACTTGAAAATGATTAACTTTTCAATTTCATTATAGATAATCCCCTTAGTTAGCCCTTGTGCACTCCTTTCTCCTCGTAATCCCCCCCCCCCCATCCCCCTTAGTCCATTACCCACTATCACACTCCTTTGTTCCATTCTCTTAGATCTTAACCAACACTGGCCTGGCCCCTAATTAACCCCTCTTGGTCTTGTCGCCTAATTAATCCGTCCTCTATTCGTTCCTCCACCCCTTTCCCTGTGATCTTCACCCACACTGGTCTGTCCAGTGTCCCCTAATTAACCCCTCTTGGTCTTGTCCTCTATTTAATCCGTCCTTTCTTCGTTCTTCTACCCCTTTCCCTGTGATCTTCACCAACACTGGTCTGTCCCCTAATTAACCCCTCTTGGTCTTGTCGCCTATTTAATCCGTCATTTGTTCGTTCCTCTACCCCTTTCCCTGTGATCTTCACCAACACTGGCCTGTCCCCTTATTAAACCCTTCTTGGTCTTGTCCCCTATTTAATCCGTTCTTTGTTCGTTCCTCTACCCCTTTCCCTGTGATCTTCACCAACAGTGGCCTGTCCCCTAATTAACCCCTCTTGATCTTGTCCCCTATGTAATCCGTTCTTTGTTAATTCTTCTACCCTTTCCCTGTGATCTTCACCCACACTGGCCTGTCCCCTTATTAAACCCTTCTTGGTCTTGTCCCCTATTTAATCTGTCCTTTGTTCGTTCCTCCACCCCTTTCCCTGTGATCTTCACCCACACTGGTCTGTCCCCTTATTAACCCCTCTTGGCCTTGTTTCCAATTTAATCTATCCTTTGCTGGTTCTTCTACCCCTTTCCCTGTGATCTTCACCAACACTGGCCTGGCCCCTAATTAACCCCTCTTGGTCTTGTCCCCTATTTAATCCGTCCTTTGTTCGTTCCTCTACCCCTTTCCCTGTGATCTTCACCAACACTGGCCCGTCCCCTAATTAAACCCCTCTTGGTCTTGTCCCCTATTCAATCCGTCCTTTGTTCATTCCTCTACCCCATTCCCTGTGATCTTCACCCACTGGTCTGTCCACTATTCAACCCCTTTTTTTGTGTTTCTCCTAACCCTGCATGCGTGTGTGTCCCCTACATGTTTGTTGCATGTGCCTCTGTCATATGCCTCTGAAGGAAATTTTTTTTTAAGGGAGTGTCTCAAAAGTTGGAATGTTCCTGTTCAGTACGTGTGGAACTTTCCTTTTAGGAACACTGTGTGTTCACATCGGGAACGCGCTGTGTGCCCATCGGGAACGCGCTGTGTGCCCATCGGGAACGCGCTGTGTGCCCATCGGGAATGCGCTGTGTGCCCATCGGGAACGCGCTGTGTGCCCAACGGGAACGCGCTGTGTTCCCATCTGGAACGCGCTGTGTTCCCATCGGGAACGCACTGTGTTCCCATCGGGAATGCGCTGTGTGCCCATCTGGAACGCGCTGTGTTCCCATCGGGAACGCGCTGTGTTCCCATCGGGAATGCGCTGTGTTCCCATCTGGAACGCGCTGTGTTCCCATCGGGAACGCGCTGTGTTCCCATCGGGAATGCGCTGTGTGCCCATCTGGAACGCGCTGTGTTCCCATCGGGAACGCACTGTATTCCCATCTGGAACGCGCTGTGTTCCCATCGGGAACGCGCTGTGTTCCCATCTGGAACGCGCTGTGTTCCCATCGGGAAAGCGCTGTGTTCCCATTGGGAACGCGCTGTGTTCCCATCGGGAACGCGCTGTGTTCCCATCAGGAAAGCGCTGTGTTCCCATCGGGAACGCACTGTGTTCCCATCGGGAACGCGCTGTGTTCCCATCAGGAACGCGCTGTGTTCCCATCGGGAACGCACTGTATTCCCATCTGGAATGCGCTGTGTTCCCATCGGGAACGCGCTGTGTTCCCATCTGGAACGCGCTGTGTTCCCATCGGGAAAGCGCTGTGTTCCCATCGGGAACGCGCTGTGTTCCCATCGGGAACGCGCTGTGTTCCCATCGGGAAAGCGCTGTGTTCCCATCGGGAACGCGCTGTGTTCCCATCTGGAATGCGCTGTGTTCCCATCGGGAACGCGCTGTGTGCTCAGGATGTTCCCAACTAAAACAGGCCGTTCCCGAGTATTAAGTGTGCACGTGCATTGACCACCACTGTTGCTAGTGGGAACAATGCATGTTCTCACATGTCTCGATTGAACAGGCGATGTTCCCCGGTGGAATGTTCCAAGCGTTTTGACTTTTGAGATGTTCCTTACGGTCGCAACATCAGGCCGTCTTAATTATTTAGATTAGATTTTTTTTGTAGTTTAAAAAAAGAAAAGAAGCTATTTTAGTGTAAGAGAAGGGGTTCGCCCCGGTGTTTCCGGCAGTGGCCGCAATATGCGCCGCAGTACCTTGTAAACCCTTACAAGGTGCTACATAATGGGTCTCATATTTCTCATAAACTTTATTTACCTGTCTTTAATAATAGACATAATTTCCAGCGCCTTGAGTACCTTATTGTTGGTAGATACGTGCGCTATATAAGACTCCGGTATTATTATTATTAAAAAGACTTACAGAAGGGCTAGATAGCGCACTGGTAGAACACCAAATTTTTCAGATAGGGATGCTGCGTTTGATTTCTTCATTCAACCGGTGCATTTTTATATTTGTTGTACTCTGAATGCAGCAAGGATTGAGTACGTTACTGTGTAGCTCTCAACAAGTTGGCTTCCAGTTTCCTGAGCAAGGCAACGATCCCGACAGCTCTAATGGAAGTCATGCAAGGCAGTTGTGTAAGTCTCAATTTTTTTTGTGTGTATTACTATTTTTAGGTGGAAGTCTGCAAGTTGTATTCATTCATTGACTATAAATGGTTTCAAGTATACAGTTAATCAAACATCGTTATAACAAACACCAGTATTCCGAACATTGGGTTATAAACAAACATCAACTTATGTTTACCGATTTTATGTACAATTATATAACAACTGTGGTCCAATGGTTACGGTGTTCGACTCGTGTGCCGTGGTACACGGGTTCGAATCCTGGCCGTGCGAACATGGTGCTTGTGCTCTTGAGCAAGGCACTTTACCACTATTGCTTCGTCCTTCGGATGGGACGTAAAGCCGTAGGTCCCGTGTGTTGTGTAATGCACGTTAAAGAACCCAGTAACGCTTGTCGTTAAGAGAAGGGGTTCGCCTCAGTGTTTCTGGCAGTGGCCGCAGCCCCTTGTAAACCCTGGTGCCACACCTCCAGTTTAAATTCCCTAGATGGAATATTTCAGAGGACCACCAACCAAGTACCAACAGATTCTGAATTCTTCGCCAAATTGTTTTGTCCACAGGTTGGTCTTGTTCATTTCCCCACCGATGCTGCCTGTAACATTCCTATTTTGATACTGACGTACTCCCAATGCAAATCCGAGTTCAATGGGTTTATCCCCAACGACCAGGCTGGATTCATCAAAAAGTACCAGCTGCTCATGAAGAAACAAACCAAGATAAATGGCTTGTACGGGGCGCGACATCACATGGTAAGAACGGGAAAGTGGGTTTTAAAGGTAATATACGACATTTGCTTTTGCTGTAAGTTTCAGAAATGGATGGATTTGGGGGTTAGGCCCCCCCCCCCCCAAAAAAGTCTCCGGTTTCTGGTATGGAGCTTGCCCAAAAAGTGGTGCAGCGACGCGGCTTTTTTTTTTTTTTACCTGATATTTTTTGCTTCAAATGTCTGCAAATGGTGCCCGACTAAACTTAGTGCAAGTATGTGGGAGTCCAGAGAGGCCACATAAAGCTTATTCTCGACCATAACCCAATCTAAAAACACGTTCAAATTGTGCAGCAGCAGGATTCCAGTCAAACCAGTGAGTTTGGCGGTTTGGAGACACCATCTTTCATTGAAAAAAAAACTTTTTCATTTTGCCGACGCGCATGGCTACGGCGACACGCGCGCATACCAGAAACCGGAAACTTTTTTTTTTGGCCTTAGTAAATTTTGTAGCAAATATTGTTACACTGACCTGTTTAAAGTTTTGTGTTCATAGATGCTGGAAAAACTAAGATCTGAAAATGCTGTTCTTGTCTGGTTCCCTGAACCTACATGTGCTTCAGACGAAACAGAACAGTTGATATACGTCAGGGAATGGTGTGGTCAGGGAACTAGACTAGCTGGTTGGCACCCCTTCACGGATGTGTAACCGATTGCAAACAAATTTGCAAACAAAAACCTAAATTTAGTAAATTGGGGGCAGTATTTGAAAAAGTCATTTTTTTTTCCAACAATGGTCGGCCGACCATTATTAGAAACTGATACAAAAATTCCATTTTTCTTGAAAATGACTGCATACCAGGTGCCATGATTTCACAGAATGCTTGAGACTATTATTCACTTACAGTCATGTAACGTATTTCATGGTACGATAATTTGGTACTTAACGGTTTTTTTTTATGTTTGCAAATGTCGTATATTACCTTTAAAGGCTATTTCTGACACCATTTTAATTTTTTCTTTCTTTGTTATATTTTGCGTTGATATTAATTTTGTGTCTCACAACAAACTGTGCATATAAATTAAAGGTTAAATTCTTTGGCACAGTTTAGCTCCGCCAGACATTATATGATTATGGTATCCTTATTACTTCCTGTTTCACTAAAAGTCGTGGCCTCTCTTTTGTTTTAGTCCTTACACTATTTCTATCACTTCAAAATGACTTCTGCAACAATAAGCACTTCATATATATGTAATGACCCTATTTTTTGGTCATGTTGAACAGTATCTTTGGGTAGAAATTGCAGTTTTCATTTTCAGATGTGGCCGTTGGAATCAATACAGTTTTACATACTGTATTACAGTGATCGCCATCTTTATGTACGTACTAATGAAGATTTATAAAGCGCACATATCCACCTATTAAGGCGCTCAAGGCGCTATAAACACAATAAATGGAATTTACTCAGAAAATAAACATAATACCAATAGAGAGAGAAAACAAATTACAAATATGTGTTGGGTTTTGTTGTCTACCTCCTTGTTTTACCAAAAGAAATCCCTAAAAAAATTATCAAAACCCTGTCCGCTAGGCCTGGGCGAGTAGTGGATTTTTCAACTCGAGTACTCCCAGAGAAATTACTCGGGAGTAGTCGAGTACTTGCAAGCTTTTAACCAAATTCCCTTAAAAGCAGAAAAATGACATACAATTTAGTATGACGTTTTTAGTAACGTACAAGCAAATAGTGTGCTAGTCACACCACATTCTTCACCACTGAGATATCTAGTCCGAAAATTTGGGACTCTCAATACTGTGTATGAGAGTCCCAAAACTTAAGGTATCCATATCGTGCAAAACTTTGTGCTGCATAATAAAACCAGTGTGAATCAAATTTGCAAGCTTCTTACTCACTACAGTTTCTTCAATAATCCCTGAAACTTCTGCCTAGCAAAGTTGTTGTTGTGAGCATTGCATCACCAAAATTTCAGCTTTTAATTCTAATTTTGCAGAGGGTTATTGAAATCCATACGTGAGACATCACATTGATGTGTACTGCAATGCATTGTGCAAAAAGACTCCTCAGCTATAACATTTTCATCGTGTAGATAAAACAGCGCCCTCTTGTTGATCTGAGTGAATGCAAAATGTTTCATTTTTTAGCAGAGGGCGCTATGTTCATTTGGCCATTGATTAAAAAACAAGTAAGCTGCAAGGCTCTTCCTACACCTACCCTGAATACCTTGGGAATCACACACCCATTTCCAGAGCATGGAGATTGACGTGGGTGGTTTTTGAACTGCCAAAACCTTGCCTTAAAATTGGATTTAAGGTCTCAAATTTTGCAGGTGACATGCTTGCAACTATAGCATTTTGATGTATGTGTTGTGTGGGCATTAATTAGCCTAATGGTGAGTAAAAAAACGTCAGTAGTAATTTTGCACGTTTTTATGCACTCACGGTCCCAGTCTGTGAGATATCCTGACTGTGCGAATGGAATCCTAGGTGGAGGGAGTGATTCCCTGTTTGCTGAGTACGTAATTTGCTACTTGTCAGTACCTGCTCCTACTCGCACCAGGACAAGTACTCGAGTAGAGCAACGAGTAGCATAAACTACTCGCGAGTACTTGTGTCATCAAGTTACTCGCCCAGTGTTACTGCCCTCTATCCTTGACATTCTTGCTGGTTTAAGACATTGCTAATTACATTGTAGTTAGCTGACTCTAATGACCTCAAAGTGGTTTTTGTTCTCTTTTAAACAGAAATGTTTGCTGGAAGATTGAAAATGGTTCCTTTACTCACAAACTTATGCACTTTCAAAACTTCCAACTGAAACTTGTAATACTTGCCCAAGTGTGTCCTTTTGCTCTAGGATGGAGAATTTGATCGCAGTCACGTGTCTAACTAAGGAACCAGAGAACCATGCTAGTCACATGACTTGGTTTGAAGCCATATTTGGAAGTCTGCTGCTATAAAGTTGGTAACTTTTTGTATATTCAGGGCGGTTGGCCAGGCATTCCTAACGGGGTAAAATGCTGCAGCAACAGCAACGACTGCAGCAACAGCAATGACAGCAGCAGCAGCAACAGCAGCAGCGACAGCAATGACAACAGCATCAGCAGCGACATCAGCAACAGCGACAGCAACAGCCAGCTGTCAATCGACAGCAACAGCTCCACCTCCAACAACCCGAGCAACCAATTATGATGCAGCAACAACAACAGCCAGTCTTGTCGTCGAGTACACAAGTCCTTTCACAAGTCCATCACAAGTAACAGAGGATGAACTATTACACAGGAATGCTGTTGCCACATATCATTTGAATAGTTCGACATGAGAGGACTTGTAATGGACTTTACTAAACGCCGTAGAAGGTTATGTCTTACACCGCCAAGGTCACGCGTTGCCCTGGGTGATGTGTCCAAACAAACCTGGCCTTACATAGCGATTGCACGGTGCCCCGTTTTTCATCAACTTTTTATCCCTTGGAACGAAAAATAACGGCATCCGTCATGTTCTGATTGAGGACTACAGTCAGCTACGAAGCGCTATCCTATTGCCTAATTTCATTTATTCTTAATGTCTGAGAAATTCAAATTAGGTTTGCCCTTCACCGACGTTTTTAACCACTGTATACTCAGTGTGTTACCTCCCGAGTGAAAGTTGGAAAAAATCACTCGGGTGGGACTCGAACCCACGACCTCCTGCTTTCTAGTGCAGCCAACCGATCCCGTTAGCTCGGTGGTCGAGTGGTAAGACGTCTGCACTAGAAAGCAGGAGGTCGTGGGTTCGAGTCCCACCCGAGTGATTTTTTCCAACTTTCATCCGGGAGGTAACACACTGAGTATACAGTGTTTAAAAACGTCGGTGAAGGGCAAAAACCTAATTTGATTTATATCACCCCGGCGCAAAAATTCCATCTTATAATAGTCTGAGAAATTTCAACTAGAAAATGTTCAACTGAATCGCCCATCCAAATCCTATGGTAAAAATGGTGGGCGAGACATTGTTTAGACACATCACTGTTGGAAACGACCCCGCGTGATGTCACACTTCAACAGCGTATACAACCACAGATACGGGTAACTCAGCAACAGTTGTCATGGCAAACCACCCGTTTGTCATAAAGTTGTAGATTATGTTTGATTGGCAAGTAATGAAATATTTAAAAAGGAAACTTTGGGGGAGGGGTACTTTAAAGAACAGTTCCATTAATGTGTCAGACAATGACTACCCTTGAAGATTGTACATTTTTGAAACAATATCAACATCGAACATTAAATAAGGGGAGGTCATTAAAAAAAAGTAGTAAAACAGCTCTGCAAAAAATCCATAAGGAAAACAAACGCCGTCGAGAGCAATCTGCTACGAGCCCATTTTGATAACGTCAAGGTACGGCTCTGCAATCAAACGACTGTTTTGTGCCATACTTGTACATGCGCATAGTGAATGGATTTCACACATTTCAATTGACAATTCGCTCATAAATTGACACATTTAGGCCTATTTTCTGACAGCACGTTTACTTTCAAATTTTCAGTTTTACAAAGTAGGAGAGAGAGGGAAAAATTTTGACCAAGATCTCCCTGGGAGAATTAATGAAACATTGGGAAGCTTGCGAATTCAACCACAAAATATGCATCAACGCATCATTTGGAAAACTAAAACAGGCTACATGTAATTAGCTTTAATTTTTTTGTTGGAGTGCTAGAGCCGTATCATAAAACTAACTGGCCTTTTACTATTTAGGTACTCAAGGCGCTGGAAATGATGTCTATTGTTAAAGGGAAAATACAACATTTGCAAACATCAAAAAATAAAACTACCAAATCATTTTGAACTACCTTGCTGGACTGTTAGTGAATGACAGTGTAAAGCATCCTGTAAAATCATGGCACCTGGTATACTGTCATTTTCAAGAAAAGTGGTATTTTTGTATCAATTTCCAACGCTGGTCGGCCGACCAGCGTTGGAAAAAACTGGCTTTTTTTCAAATACTGGCCCCAATTGACCATCGCACTTGTTTGCAATCGATTACACACCTATGAGCGGGTACAAGCCAGCTAGACTGGTTCCCTGACCTTACAATTCCCCAATGTATGTAAACTGCTCTGTTTCTTCTTATATGGAGTCAGGGAACCAGACTACAGGAAAAGTATTGTTTTTCTTGGTTTTTATAGCATTTTTGAACCCAAAACCTCAAAAAAGTCAGTGTAACTATATTTGCTATATTTCCAACCCCCTAATTCCATCCATTTCTGAAAACTACAGCAAAAGCAAATGATGTATATTCCCTTTAAAGACAGGTAAATGAATGAGAAATATGAGACCCAATATGTAGCACCTTAGGGTTTACAAAGTGCTGCGGCGCGCGCGTATTGCAGCCACTGCCAGAAACACTGGGGAGAACCCCTTCTCTTAGCGATAAGTGTTGCAGTGGGTTAACGTGCATTACACAACACACGGGACCTACGGATTTACGTCCCATCAGAAAGACAAAGCAATAATGGTAAAGTGCCTTGCTCAAGAGCACAAGCACCATGTTCCCACGGTCAGGATTCGAACCTGTGTACCACGGCACATGAGTCGAACACTGCAACCATTGGACCACAGCACCCCACGTTTGCTGCCCTCATTGACACAATGTTATTCTCTGGCATTTACCATAGGGGGCATGGCAGCTTTTTCGGCTAAAACTCCCCTTATTCAATTTTCAATGTTGTACATTGTTTCAAATATTATCAAGATATTGCGGCGATCGTGTAGCTATGGGCCCCTCTTCAGTTTGGATCGGATTACAGTCAAGGAGGTTTTTATCATTTATTGACACTAGTTTTTGTTCACACATACAGGGTATAGATGTGTTCATAAGACGTACATGTTATTAAAAGCATCTACTCGGTCAATTTCATTAACTTCTATTCTAGATTAGACTGTTGGGAACGATTGGTGCATCCTGACGCCACAGTTTTCATCACTTATTATCTCAATGAAGGTCAGTCATTGCAAAAATGACATGAATATGGGATTGAAAAACATTTCCAATTTTGTAAATTTTTGAAAATGCACTCAACTCTCTATAGACTTTCTACACAACCACAAAATTTGGTGTTAGGTTGCTACATCATACGTTCTTTCCTAATACGTTGTATTGTCGTTCAAGTCGCGCTGAAAGTTCATTCATTTTAAAGTTTTATTCTACATTCTTACTTACATATTTTAAAAATATTGGAATAGAACATCCGTTCTTTTGTTGCTTTCTGGTAGAAGCAGTTGGCCAATATCCACTGCCTATTTTAAACAACAAAATCTGACTATATTTCATGTCAGATTTTCACTTTAAATTAGGGGCAAGCAGGTGTATTTCCCAATTGTAATTGCTGCAAAATGAAAGAATTTCAAAAAAATGTTGACTGAATTAAAGCTATAGTCCATCATTTTTAATTAGTGCATTTTGTTCGTTTGAAGCAACAAACGTGTTCAAAATCTAATGAAGGATACTGAACAACTTACTTGATGAAGTTTCAGCTCAGCTTCAGCTGTATATTCCGAGAAAAACAGCATTCTAAGATCTCAATTTCAAATCAAAAGTTACTAAATCATGTTTTGAATTGTTTTGAATTGTTTTGAATTGCAGCTATACGCGACGTCGCGCACTGATCCGACGAATTATAACAACCGCGCGCGCGTGTGCGTCGTTCCAATACTTGTACGCGCTGCTCTGAATAACAAAACGAACTACTAATTTAAATTTTCCTACGGTGCTTCTTAAGAATCACCGTTGGAAATGCCTTCTTTCGTTGATTACTTCAAAATGACAGCTTGCCAGAAAGAATAATTTCACAGGGAGTTTAGTCCCCTTACTATCTTTCAACCAAGTTTGTTTTTCAACAATAATTACGCCAGTTACTTTTCGGATGGCTGCAAATGATGGACTATAGCTTTAACTACTGTTCATCAACAGAATATAGTTATGTTATAATAATATTCACCTTGCAACCCAATTAACCTGCAGTTGTCAAGTACCTGTAGTTATAAAAACAAGTGCAATGGTTTCATTTGTAAGCATGATTTCAATATTCCAAAATGCCAGTTCCGTTTATTTTGCCCAAGGTAAACAACAAATTATTGCTTAAATCTCTGCACATAGTTATGTATCATGTATGTACACAGCAGCTGATGTGAATTGATGTGATTGTTTTACTTTTTTATTTTCAAAAACAAAATTCACTCTTTCTTAAGTTTTAGTTGTTCTTAGATTAATACTGTTTTCCAGTCCATTCTTTGTACAAAAACTAATAATTTGTCTTCTTCTTTGTATATTTTGTAAAATGTTTCACTACACACATCGGTTGGAATAAATACCCAGAGTACTGAGGCAAACGAATTCGTAAACCGTTTTGATTTCTGTATTTTTCAAGTGTATGTCCCTGCCTTCCAATTACCACGCAAAGAAGCGAAAAGATGCTTGAATTTAAACTTATATGTTCCCTTATTTCCCATGTTTCATTTTCCCTTGTAGAGAACGATACCACGAAATTAACTAAGTCGATTTAAATATCCAATTCATAGTTTCAAAAGTACTATGCGCATAGCAACCAAAGTACTACATGTATACATAAGCAACCAAAGTACTATTTCCACGGCGCGGTATTTGTGTGCAAATGCATGCTGGTGTACGCGCCGCAGACTTGGGTTCAAACATTTCGTGAAGGGGTAGTTTTTAAGAGAGAAATACATTTTGCACCAATTTTGTATTGAAATTGAAGTTTATTTCAGCTGTGTTCAGATTTAAATAATTTAAAATATTAAAATCAAGCAGAATCTGTGGGTGAAGTGTTATAAAACAAATATTGAATGCTTTATCTCGTGGTGAAGTAAAACTAGCCTCCCGGTGATCCATGGATCATTCTATTTTCCCTCGGCTTCGCCTCGGGAAAATAGAATGTCCATGGATCACCTCGGGAGGCTAGTTTTACTACACCACTCGAAGCATTCAATATTTGTATAATAGCTCCATGCATCTACATGCAATTCAAACCTAGGGCTTACTTGCCTACCTTAAATCAAAACGGTGCATTAATTATTTAAAAAAGCTTTGAATTGATCAAATGCCCCCCACTATGTTTTGATAGCCAAACCTGATACGAATCCGAGATTTGGAAAAATGGCCCTTGGGGGGGGGGGGGGGGTATAACGTGTCAAGCTCTAGCTCTGGAGGGCGCCCGACCACATTATATGCACTTCCGCAAAAACAATCACAAACCAACGTCATGCATGTCATGTGAACGTGATGTGTCATGGATTTCGATTCCTCCATGGATCAACTAGGTTCTTTGGTCGATACTGTACACGGTGAAAAACATTTTACCCCGTGCAATACATTAATATCAATCATTATTCATCTTCCCTCGGCGTAGTGTTATAGACGACCACGTAAGTAACGTTAGTGCAGGAGTTAGGGAAAAAATGTTGCAACCTGATCATGATGACCTTCCGCGATTGTGCACAAAGTCTATTTACTGAGGCAAAATGAGGCATGTCCCCCAAAACTTTGTTTTGAGTAGGCCTAATCGACGCCTTACAGGGCCTAAGCTGGATAGTAGAAAAATCATGTCCAAATTGATATTGGTTGTTTTGTTTTTTTGAGTAGTCAAGGTACCCAAGATTGGATATAAAATAGTTAGCCATGTAGACGGACGTGTGTGTAATGAGCTCCCGGGATCGTCCCAAAAATCACTTCAAATGTGAGTGACCAATAGATGCCAAGGTCTTGATCAGAACGATAACAAGAATTCATCATGCCGAGACGAGGGGACAAAGGGGCTTCACTGGCTTCAACCAGTCCAGACGGTTTGATACACTGTAAGTCCGCCATCCGTTGTCCCAGTAGCCAGATCGCCCAACATCGAAGATGGTGACGCCATTGATGGTCTAAGGCGCGAAATTCGAAACCTGGCCACCGACCTCAATGCGAAGCTCGATAAAGCTCTCCTGAACCAGGAGTCTTTACAGTCGACTCTCATTATAAAGAGCACTTTTATAAAGAGATTTTGCTTATAAAGAGCAAATTCTGAGGTCCCAAATCTCAGGTTCTCTTTGTGTTTCTTTGTTTCGCTGTCCTTTTATAACAACATTTCTGTTATAAAGAGGTAATTTGGCTAGTCCCATCGACCTTGTTATAACGAGAGTTGATTTCTCGGTATCAGAGATTGAAAGCAAACAGAAGGCCATGGAAGAATCACTGAATTTCTCAGCATCCACCATCGACGATCTGGAGTCCAAATCCAAGATGTTACTGGAAAGAATGGCGAGTCGAGAACGACAAGCCAGATGGTAGGGGCCCAGGAGAAAATAGCTGACCTTGGGGACGCCATTCTTTAACAAGAACGGTATTCACGTAACTTCAATCTACGCTTCGGTGGCATACCAGAGTCGCAATCAAATGATCCGGTCATCCCATTCAACCAGATAAAAGAACTGCTAACAGAGCGATTCGGCATGACAGATGTGGAGATAGAGAATGCCCACAGAACCGGCAAACCATCCAAAGTTCCTGTATCGGTCAGAAAGACAAACTGTGCTAGATCGTGCAAAATCCATGAAGGTATCTTTGGCGAAGTCTGGTATCTTCGTGCTGAGAGACATGCCTGCTGCTGATGTCGCCAAGAAAAGATCACTGCGTGACATCATGCAGAAGGCATACCGAGACGGCAAGAATCCTGTCTTCAGGAACGGGGATCTCTACATCAACGGGAAGAAGCACATCCCAGTCCCTGAATCGCCATAGACATTCTGGACTCAGCAGATCCGCCACATCTCGATTCCTGGGAGGACCGTAAGTTTGATTGTATACACGTTGTAGCTGTTGTCCATTAGTTGTTACGTTGCTTTTTTTATCAGTTGTTAGTAATACTTGTTCTGCATTATTTCTTTGTTGTTGTGTTTAGATTACTTTAATTTATTTCAGTTAAGTTTTGTTTATTATTGTTTTTGAAGTTGTTTGCTGTTACTTTGTTATGCCTGTTAAGCTTGCTTTTTGTGGGTCCCCTGCATCTCTTGGTATTAATACTTGTACATTATTTCTTATCTTATTTGTTTTAGCATACCTAATTTATTTTGAAGAATCCTATTTATATTTTTGCATTGTACCATGAGGTGGAATAAAGTAAAAGTAAAGTAATTCACACTGTGCATTTTTGTTGCGGAAAAAAATACCCCCAAAACTAAAAAGTGGAAAAAGAGCACGTTTTTCACTGCCGTTGGCAGCGCAATGCATCCTCGATCCTCCTATTTCTGCGCAGATAAGGCTTTGCAACCAAGTAGCTTAAAAATAGCAAAGCAACCACTCTTTTCCTCAACAAAACTTATATTGTTGGCTTACGATCATCCACCGTACCGATTAACAAAGCGAAATCTCTTTATTTGTGGCAGCAAGCGGGGAATTCCAAAGCGTGCAGTTTTGCCGTTGTTAAAAAGAATCCTGCCTAATTCTGCGCAGGGGACGCTTCATGAAAAATATGTGCTGTCCCGGCCATGTAACTCAATAAAACTTTTTTTTTTAATAACTTAGACTTGTTTGCTTTAGGAAAATATATTTCCTGAGCTTTTCAAACATATTTTCTTTCTTTTTCCTTTCTTTTTTCAGTGCCAATTAGCAAATAATTTTCTGACAAACTTTTAGTTGTGTATAAAAGTAGACATCTGATAATATTAATAATGGTTTATCAGATTTATCACATTTACAGAAATTCTTAAATGTTAATCTGGAATTATCCGAGATTTATTCAAGTGCGCCACGTTGGGGAACACTCAGCCGATTTTGTGCCCAATTTCCAGACGCCACCGTTTTTGAATTTCGGATTAAATTTCATGACACCTAAATTATTCACAGAGGTTAAATAGCAAGCATTAATAGGGTAAAAGTGCCAGTATTTCACTGAATGAATTTGAAGTTTGTCAACAAAGAAGTTTGGCAACACTGATGTGGAAAGTCGGGGGAAACGTGGTAATGCGCCACGTTAGGGAACACCACTACATTGTATATATGGAGTCAAGAATTTTTTTTAAGTATTTCCTGGTCCTGTATTATAATTATACAAAATTTGAAATGTTTCTCAGTCCCAGATTCATGTCTCAATCTTATCATCATTAATTGCAATGTATGACCTTCATTGAGACGATTATATGAAGAAAAAAATGGCGTCATCAGGTTGCAACATTTTTTCCCCTACCTCATTTCAATTGGTCTCCAATACTATTTTTTTTCAGACGAAGTGCATTTTGAAAAGGAATTTTGGCCAGATTTCCGACTTGACTACTTGTAGTTAACTAGTCGAGCTGTATCAAACCATACACTGCAAAAACTGCAGTGTTAAATTTACACTGTTGGTATCTGTATAGGACCATCTGGTGTTAAATTTTACTGGTGTTGTCCTATATAGTATACCGAATGGTGTTAAATTAACACTACAGTTTTTGCAGTGTACAGCATGCTGGTAGCAATTATCCCAGTCACATTTCCTGTCCATTTTATAAAGACTGCAACTTATTTGTTATACATCAAACGTATTCTTGGGATTGTCGCAATAGTCACTGTTCTTTAGGGCTGTGGGAACAATATGTGAAGTGGAGGCATTGCTATTGTCTGTTACTCTTTTTCTCAGCCTATAGATTTCCATGGCATTGCAGCAGCAACCGCAGCCGCAGCAGCAGCAGCCACAGCCACAGCAGCAGCAGCAGCAGCAGAATATCATCGCTGGTGTTAGACTGGAAGAACAGATGAACACAGTGCTGTGGCATGGCCAACTGGAATGGCGTGATATTGTTCAAGTCAGTTCTTTCATTCATCCATTCATTCTTTCAACAACTTTTAAGTAAAAACTGTTTCCGACTGGAAAAAGAATGTAGGATGTTGATTCCACAAAATTGTCAACGCACCATTTTTTTTTCAGGTAACAAGAGCTGTTCATAGAACACTGTAAAAAATGTATGTGTGACGTTTCTCAGAGATTTGTGTGCAAATATACTGCCACTGTACTGCAGTTTTATGCTGTAATTTTCAAAAATTGGTGGATTTGGGGGTAAGTATTTTATAGCAAGTATTGTTACACAGACCTTTTAAAGTTTTGTTTTAATAGATGCTTGACAAAAAACAAGAAAAAAGGTGTTGTTCTTGTAGAATGTTACCCTGACCCTAAATGTACTTCAGACAAAACAGTGATTTATAAATGTCGGGGAATTGTCAGGTCAGGGAACAGACTATGTTGCTTGCACCCTTTCATGCCATTCAGGGTTGTGAAACTGATGTGCAAACAAAATGTGGACTTACTATTGTAATTTGGTAGATTGGGTGCAGTATTTGGGAAAAAAGTCAGTTTTTTTGGATGTTAGTCAGCCGATAATTGTTGGAATTGGTACGAAAATTAAACTTTTCTGAAAATTACATCACACCAAGTGCCAATGTTTCATAGGATGCTTGAGACTATTATTATCTACTGACAGTCAAGGTATTTCATAATACTTTGGTATTTTTTTTTTTTAACGTTGACAAATGTTGTTAATACTTTTAAGAATTGAATTTAGAAACAGCTGTTATATAGGTCCCCCCCCCCCTCCCGTTAAAGTGTGCTTTGTGCATTAGTTTTCCCTTTTTATCAAATGGATAAGTCGCATTCTGGAAATAAAGTCTTCATTTCTTACAATTATCTTGAACGTTCCATTCTCTGGCAGGGTCCCAGGGTTTTTGCATCAGAAACTGATGATCAGATCACTCGTACTCACACCTGTCACATGAGCGTGGGTCCTAACAGCACTCTGAATACGAAACGATGGCCATCCAGACTTACCATGCAGCTAGTTCCATATCGGATTCTGGTAAATTTGTAATTTTATTGGTTTTGATAATGTATTCTGTTTTTGTGTGGGTGGGGGAGGGGAGAGATCACTGATCTATAAAGACTGGATAGCGGATATGCATACAACATTCACACAGTAGGCTTTGCATATTGACCAATTCGCCCCCGGTCTCACGAAGATGGCCGCGTATAATATGAACGTTCTACGCGTATTTACAGCGCGCGTTGTATCAACAGCCGACGCGCATTTTGATCACGTACACATAATTATGATGTTCTAAAAAGGACACATTTCCGTAGTGGTTATTATTTCCAAAACCCCGAAAAAGTGAACTGCGGCATTGAACATGCAAACCACGACGTTAGAAAAATTGCAAACCTTGGTCAGTGGTGGTGGTCAAAAAGATAAGTTAAGTGAACCGTGGTGTTACAAAAGAAATCATGCTGTCTATAAAGACGTCAACTTGTCCTTTGTAGATCACCAGCCGGTCTCACCGGTCTCACCAATATGGCGTCCAATTCATTCATTGTGCGGCTCTTTATCCGCTATCCAGTCTTTATATAGAGATCAGTGGGAGAGATTTAAGTTTTCCATTAATATCAAATCAAGTGTATCATTTTAACTAAGTAGGCCTACATGTAACACTGGATGATATGTGAACATGATCTGGCCATGGATATGCACAAGGGCTGGTTATGCTTTAGTCATGGCCCAAGACATCAGTGATCAAGAGAGACAGTCGCAATGTTCAGTAGTGCCCTTGCATAATTGATTTTTTACATTCTCTCACTAACGTCATGAATGTCATGGTCATTTCGTAACAGTGGGGGCGTGGCCATTTTATGTAAATTTATAGGACCGTTTGTATAAATTCAAACATTAAACGGCAGTTCCCATTTGCCGCAGTAGTCGTGCCCTCGCCCGGGGGTATCACTGCTTTTCATAACGATGATGTTTACAACCATCGGGTGAGCCATTGAACCATTTCACTAAGTAGCCCGGCTGGCGAGTCAAAAATTATTGGGCTTTATACAACACCTGAATAAATCCCCGTCATCTGATTGGTGAATTGTAGATCACGTGACATATTATTATTCGGTATAATGCACGGTGCGACCATGCGTTATACCCATGCGTTATACCGTTTCACTTTGCGCTTGTTCCATGACGCGGTATTTGCGTGCAAAATGCATGATGGTGTGCGCGTTCAGCGAAGCGCGTATTGTTCCAAAGAGCCAGCGCTACAGCGTTGGGTTCAAACATTTTCGTGAAGGGGTAGTTCAACATCTTTAAAATCGAAATAAATTGTAGTTTATAATTTACCAATCAAATGACGAGAATTTATTCAGGTGTTGTATAAAACAAATAACGAATGTTTTACGTTCGTGCGATGGAAAGAATAATTTCATTCGGTGACAGATTGAATGTTCTATTCCACTCGGCTTCGCCTCGTGGAATAGAACATTCAATCTGTCACCTCATGAAATTATTCTTACCATCGCACTCACAAGCATTCGTTATTTGTATAATAGCAAAGATGAAAGGACAGGAAGAAATAAATCATTCAATTCAGAAAGCAAACCTGTATCAATCTGTGTCTCATTTTATTAACTGTTTAGGGTTAATTTATTATTATCTGTTTATCAAAAACACTAACAAGATTACCTCAGGATACACATTACGAGACACTCTACATGCATAAAAGAAAAACATGCGGGCTAGTGAAAATGCCAGCGGGCTAGTTAAGAGTCTGTTTTGTAGCCCAGCTGGCTAGTGAAAAAAAAACATTCAGGTCAAACCCAGGCGTACACATGATTCTTTAGTTTACATTTGTATCCTTGTGGAGACATTTCTATGTTCTCGTGTAGTAAAGTTTTCGAGTTTGAAAACGAAGTTTCAATATGCTCTTATTTCAAAATAGAATGGATTTCCTTGGCTGAAATTCGGACTTAATATCCCTTTTCTAAAACTCTTCCATTTGCGACAGATCAACCCACCTTGGAAATTCCTAGTTTTTGAGTAAAATCCATACTGGTATCTATTTCACAAAAACCTTGTGGAGACGTATTCATCTATAGAAATTGCCCTGTGGAGACGTATACAATCTTTTGTTTCCTATTGTGTGCATGTCTCCAGACATGCCAGAGGGCACAGTGTATCAGAGACATTGGTTTGTACACACACACACACACACACAAGTGCGTATTTCGTGGTTCAACATTTCAATTGTCTTCCTTCAACCTAAAATCTATAAATATATCATCCGCTTCATCATCATATTTTTTAAATTGTATCCTTGCAGTTTTAAAATCCAGTTTTGCACGTTGCTTTTGCGTGATCCCTGGCTATGCAATATGTACAGGTTTAGAGTTTTCGACTAGCACCCCTAGAGTTAAGACTTTGACAATTTTTCTATTGATGCAGTATTTATCTGTTAATTATCACATTTGTGATTTTTTTTCAATGCAGAATCTTTTTAGTGCACTGAGGTCGTTATTACAGAATAGATCTGAACAAGTGAGCTTCCAGTTCCCAGACCAGAGCAATGATCCAAATGAGATGAGAGCCCTTCGAAGAGTTCTGCAAAGCGAATATGTAAGTGCTTTTCCTCGGGAAGGGTCAGATTTACTCATTTCATGTATACATGTACATCCAGACTGAACCTCGAGTGCTGAAAAACATGCAAAACAAAATCAGGCCGACTTTCTCCAAAATTGTCATTGGCGTGATTGGCCAAAGAAAGTACATGTATGTATTTCACCAACCAAGATTGAAGACTCAATTCCATTTTTTTATGTAGACTTTTCTTCAATATTTTGCACAAGTCAGGTGATTTCAAAATGTGGCTACAGACTAGACTGGTACATGTCCAACCATGGTCCAACTGTTTGAAAAGATTGACCTCTTCATTTTGTCATTAGTCTGGTGGCAGACTGTGTAGAAATGTGTAAAAACAGAGATGTGTACCTGGCATGCCTGGCATCCTGGATGTTTCTTTTGGCACAGTTGATTGATGCAGTACTGAAGAGGTGTTGGTCTGGTTTTTTCAGTTGCCAGTCTACTTTTTTGTATTGCATGTTTTCAATACCTTAAGTTTTGGGACTCTCGTACACAGTATTGAGAGTCCCAAATTTTCGGACTAACATGTATCTAGGGCACAATCAGTGGATCTGCGCTGTCACTCAAAATGTTGCACGATCGGTCGATCCTGTAGGAAATCATAGACTTTACACCCCACCTCCCTTTTTCAAAAGAGTCCTCCAGAGCCGTTAATAAGAAAGATCTAGTAGGCATCCGTCAATCCCGGGGGATTATGGGGTTCTACCCTGAATGTCTGGTTGGTGAACAGCGTCTGCTGTGGCTGTATAGTCCAATGCGGGAATGACAGTCCCGGCCACAGTGAGCGCAGAGGAACACTGAGGTGGGTCTGTCTGCTGGTTGCTGTGCCTTTCTATGTTGTCTTTTCTCCTCCGCCTGCCGCATCAACTCACTCTCGAGCTGCTGGATCCCCTTGTTCACTTTGTGCCTCCAGGCGCATCTATCTGCAGCTACTGTCTCCCAGGTGTTGGTATTGATGGCGAGTGCCTTGAGGTCACGTTTGCAGGTGTCCTTGAAGCGCAACAGGGGTCGCCCAGCATGCCTCTTGCCCGATGCCAGCTGTCCGTAGAGAAGGTATTTTGGGATGCGGCCATCCTCCATTCGTACGACGTGTCCCAGCCAGCGCAGGCGTCTCTGTTTCAGGAGAGTGAGCATGAAGGAGACCCCTGCTCTTTCAAGCACCGCCCTGTTGGTGATATGGTCTCTCCATGAGATGCCTAAGATGCGCCTCAGGCAGCGCATGTGGAAGGCACTGAGCCGTCTTTCCTGACGAGAGCGCAGGGTCCATGACTCGCATCCATAAAGGAGCGTACTCACAACGCACGCCATGTAGATCTGGGCCTTGGTGTGCTCTGTCAGCTTGCTGTTTGTCCATGCACGCTTTGTAAGCCTGGCCAGTGTTGTTGCAGCCTTTCCGATGCACCTGTTAAGCTTGGTGTCAAGGGAGAGAGTGTCAGAGATTGTAGAGCCCAAGTACACAAAATCGTGGACTGCCTCTAGCTTGTAGTCTGTGATGGTTACGGAGGGCGGCTCATCGACATCCTGTCCCATCACCTGGGTTTTCTTCAGGCTGATCATGAGGCCGAAAGCATTGCAGGCTTCGGCGAAGCGATTCAGTAGCTGCTGCAGGTCTCCTGCTGTGTGGGTGGTAATTGCTGCGTCGTCAGCGTATAGGAAATCCCTGAGGAGTCTCATCTGCACTTTCGTCTTGGCACGGAGTCTAGACAGATTGAATAGGTTTCCGTCGACCTTGTGCAAAGGTAGATGCCCTCTGTGGCTGTTCCAAAGGCGTGCTTAAGCAGGACAGAGAAGAAAATGCCAAACAGAGTCGGAGCAAGGACACAGCCCTGCTTGACTCCGCTACGGATGTTAAATGGCTTCGATGTTGTGCCGTCGTACACAATGGTACCCCTCATGTCCTCATGAAAAGATCGTACTAGGCTGAGGAGAATTGGCGGGCAACCAATCTTTGCCAGGACCTTGAAGAGTCCGTCCCTACTCACAAGGTCGAAAGCCTTAGGTCAATAAAAGCGATGAACAAGGCCTTTCTCTGCTCCATGCACTTCTCCTGAAGCTGCCTGAGGGAGAACACCATGTCGATGGTCGACCTGGCTCTGAACCCGCACTGTGACTCTGGGTACACTCTTTCAGCAAGGATCTGGAGTTTGACCAAGATGACTCTGGCGAAGAGTTTACCGACAATGCTGAGGAGGGATATACCGCGATAGTTGTTGCAATCGCTCCTATCTCCTTTATTTTTATAGAGAGTGATGATGTTTGCGTCTCTCATGTCTTGGGGCACAGAACCCTCTGTCCAGCACTGGCACAGAAGTTCGTGAAGCTCCTTGATGAGTGTCCCCTTGCCGCACTTAAGAACTTCTGGTGGAATGTCGTCGCCACCGGGGGCCTTCCCGGAGGAAAGTGCATCCAGCGCCTTCTCGACTTCTTCCATTGTCGGCTCTTGGTCGAGGTTGTCCATAGTGGGCAGGCGCTGTACTGCATCCAGGGCTTCTGTGCTGACCAGGTTCTCTCTGGAGTAGAGTTCTGAGTAATGCTCCAGCCAGCGATTCATCTGCTGGTCCCGATCCTTGATGATCTCTCCGGTGGCTGACTTGAGGGGAGCTGACTTGTTTTGTGTGGGGCCAATTGCCTGCTTGATTCCTTCATACATGCCCCTTACGTTGCCGACGTTGGCAGCAGTCTGTATGCTGGAGCAGAGTTGAAGCCAGTAATCATTGGCACAGTGCCGTGCGGACTGTTGAACTCTGCTTCGGGGTGTACGGAGTGCCTGCAGGTTCCCCTCTGATGGCAGGTTCTTGTAGGCTGAGAGGGCTTGTCTCTTTTCCTCGATGAGGGGTAACATTTCGTCTGCATTGGCCTCAAACTAGTCAGCTGACTTGTTTTGCCTCTTGCCGAAGGTGGACATTGCAGCATTGTAGATGGTATCCCTAAGGTGTGACCATCTCACATTGGTGTTATTGCTGGGCGGTCCAGGTAGGACATTTTCCAGCGCCTTAACAAACTCTTCCACCTTGTTGGGATTGCGAGTCTTGCTGGTGTCGATGCGAGGTCTGCCCTCTTTCTTTGCTCTGTGGAATCTCCAGGGTTGAAGCTTTACTTTGCAGCCTACGAGGGAATGGTCGGTGTCGCAGTCTGCGCTCTGGAAGCTGCGGGTCAGTTTGACACTTCCAAGACCACCGCGTCTTGTAAGCACCAGGTCGAGCTGGTGCCAGTGTTTGGACCTGGGGTGTCTCTAGGAGACCTTGTGCTGGGGCTTGGTGTCAAAGAAGGTGTTGGTGATGCATAGATTGTGGTGACAGCAGAGCTCTAGGAGGCGCTGCCTGTTTTCATTCATCTTCCCAACTCCAAATCGGCCCAAGCAGGAGGACCAAGAGCTGTGATCGGCACCGACTCTGGCGTTGAAGTCACCAAGAACGAAGACTGGCTCTTGCTGAGGTACTTCTCTAACAGCGGAGCTAAGGTCTTCGTAGAAGTTGTCCTTTGTTTCCGCAGAGGATGTCAGTGTTGGTGCATAGGCACTAATGAGGCTGACCATTCCTGCTGCTGTGTGGAGCTGGAGCTTAAGGATCCTTTCGGAGCCCTCAGTGGGTGGTACAATGGAGCCCAGCAGTCCGTTCCTGACGGCAAAGCCAACACCGTGTATCTCGGTCTCTTCAGGGGGTTTACCCTGCCAAAAGAAAGTAAAGTCCTTCTCCCTGATGGTGCTGGACGAGGACAATCTTGTCTCTTGGAGGGTGACAATGTCCATCTTGAGCCTGCTCAGTTCGTTGTTGATAACAGCGGTCTTACGAGCATAAGTCACTTGCTGTAGGTCTTCTGAGAGGCCCGGTGTCATGGTCCTTACGTTCCATGTACCCAGTCTGAGAGCTGGGCTGTTTTGTTTTTTCTTTCTTTTGCCTGGTGCACAGTTGTCGATCCACTTGTCGGAGTTTAGCCTAAGCCCCACGCACCCAGTGGAGCAGGCGGACCGTGGCGGGACAGCACCTTATTGGCTGGGGGCTGCCCAGCTTGAGGCGGGCGGTAGCTATCCAGATGAAATCCTAGAATTTCTCCCACCGTCAGGAGCAGCCCCTGGCGCCTCACTCTACGCCAAAGGAGTATCAGGCTTATCACCGGTAACTGCTGCTCCCCGTGTTGTGTCGACGCTATGAAGTGACGCTGGAGTGTCCTCTCCAGGGCAGAAGCCTGGGCAGTAGTACTGGAGAATCGGCTGTCGCCCATGCAGCTGATCACCCCTCTCCATGCCACCAATGTAGTCCAAGGGAAGGGCAGACGCCGATACACTTGGCACCAGTGTCATCGCAGGAGTTGCCGGAGTGTAGCTGAAGACAGCTGCAAACCGCCTAAGGGACTCCAGCTCCAAATTTTTCCTTAGGGTTGACTCCCGAAGCCTTTCCCGTGGATGGGTATGCTGCAAGGCAGCGGAGGTTTGAGATCAGGGTTTTTCTTCCCCTAGATGAGCTGCCTTCCCAGGCTGTCAAGCCCCACCTACCCGAAGCGTCTGGTTTTGAGGCGCCAGATACCCGCCTTCGCCCCTTCTCCTGTCGGTAAAAGCAGTTCCGCCAGGCTTAGAGACTAAGCCACACGAACTGGCCAGGAGTTGGACTTTGGTTGTTAGAGGCTCTTTGGTACGCATGCCATTGGGAGCATTTTATGGGTATGGGGCGCTTATCCCCAGTTACCACCCCCGGCTTAACAACCTTTGGAACCTCATCAATTCATCATGATCAACTGATCGCATTGATCTACCCTTCATACCCAACAACTATACCCTTCCCTTTTTTTCTTTGTTTCATTCTTAAAAATGGAGAGAAAAAAATATGTAATATGAAATTAATGAAATGGTCAGTTGTATGGGTGTTAGTATGGTACCGCCGCTAGCCATATATACAAAAGTTTGCCTTGGCCTTTGTTACATACTCGGGAGTCTAGAGGAGGATCCTTTGGTTGCTACCCTGGTCTAGTGACGAGTTGGACATTATAGTTCTTGGGTTGCACATGTGCATTGACTTTCTTTGTTCAACTTTTTTCAAAAATACCATAAAAAAGTTAGATTTTTACTACGTAAAACTTTGACGCTAGCATCCAATCTGATTTTTCCTTTAGGTCTTCACTGTTCATTTCCCAACCAATGTTTTGTATAACACTCGTCTCTTGATACTGGCATATTCCCAACAACGGTCGGCATTCGTTGGATTCATACCAAATGACCAGACAGGATTTATCGACCAGTTCCGAGGGATCATGAGCAGAGCGAAGTCAGACAGAACACTTGGACATTCGGTAAGGACATTTTGGGATATTTCAAGCAAATGTTGGGTTGGCATATTTGTGACCACATTCCAGTATTGCATGCCAGGTACTTGTGACAGATCATTAGTCCATCACAAGTCATGTGCATTAGGGCCCGTCTCAATTCATATCAGGTACGAGTTCCGAACAAGTTGTGGATATTGATCGGATATATAAGTTGCCGGATTCTGAACAACTTCCCTGCAATCTTCCCCCAATGAAGTTATCAGTATTGGTGAGTCAAGCAGTTGCTTATGAACATTTTAAATTTTCCTGGAACATCCCTGGGACATGTGCAGAGCTTCTTTCGGACAATGCGACTGATTCTACTCGCAACTTGTCTGAAACTTGTTCCGGATATGAATTGAGACATGCCCTGACAAGTCCAGTCACAAGTCAATCACAATCACACTTGACTTGGGACTGGATGACTTGTGACTGACTTGTAATGGCCTATGATCCATCCCAAGTACCTCGACTACAACGCTCGACCGACAAAGTCCTCAAGAGGTCTTTTTCAGTGATGTGGTCGAGTCCACATACGAGGCCAAGCAGAGTCCATGAAGGTTTGAGTCCAAGCCAAGTCTGAGTCCATTTTTATCAGAGTCCGGCTCAAGTCAGAATAAAAATTGTCAAGTCCAAGCCAAGTCCTAGTCCAGTCGCGAAGAGGGTTTTATAGCAGCACACGTGCACACAAAAGTACGCTGAGAAAACAGTGACTGTTGAATCAGTCTCTTGCAATTATTCTACAGTCTTGTCCTCGTTTGAATGAAAATCACAGGTGCGCTTGTAGATTCTTCAGCCAGTAAATTGTGTTTTCATCCATCCGCCGCAAGCCATTCTTCCCGTGAGAACTTGTGTGGAGACGACATCTTAAGATCAGGTGCTCTACAGTCTGAATGCGGTCACAGAGGTCTGACTCTTCTGTTCCAATCTTTGCCCACGAAGTCCTTCGTGCAACACCAGCCAGTGCAAAGTCGGTTGAGTTCATGGTCCGGAGGTTTCTTTGATGGTGACTGTATGAAATAGTGGAGATTGGAGTTATTCTTCTTCCATTCCAGGATCCACTGTTCGTCAGGACAGTTAGGCGTGAGAGGATGTAAATTGTGGATTTCTTGAGCTCTGGTGACCGAATGATTTCTTCTGATTCTCTGTTGTGCCTTCTCCGTGGATGGATTTGGATTAAGGCTACCCTCCACTTGAGATTTCTCTGCACTACGGAGGACGAGGTGGTCTCTTCTGATATTTGCAGGATGGATTCCAGCCAGAACAGGGAGCATTGCTGTCGGTGTTGGATCAGTGAGTGCCCCACTGATGAGGCATAGTGCTTGGTTCAATATGACATCAACATGTCTTGTGCGGTGATTGTGACTCAAGGTCTGAACAGCATACTCAGCAGTTGAATATACGAGGGTCAAAGCTAAGGTATGAAGTGTATTAAAATTAGCACCCCATTCAGTGCCAGCCAGCTTCTTCAGCAGGTTTACCCATGCTTGGGCTTTAGCTGAGGCCTTCTTAGCATGAGCCGCATAGGTGAGACTGTGGTCAGGTATAATGCCAAGGTATTCAGGTTTTGGTGTAGCGTGAATATCAGACTCCATGAAATATGGACTCATTGGTAGTACTGCGCACGCGTGAGTACGATACTATGCTATTTTTAGGATCGTTTTGAGAGAGTGACCTGTCAGGTGCGAGGGATCAACCAATAATAGAGAAATAGGGGTCCGATTTTCATAGGAGTCGGATTTTCATGTGACACCGGCTTGAATTTTAGCTGCTTCCCATTGAGATGTAGAGAACTGTGACTTTACCATATGGTATTAACGTTAACCTGTTGGTGTTATTTTGTATTTCTTTGTTGCAGACGCTGTAGTCATTGCTTGAGAGCGAATAAACAAACGTTGAACTCAAAAAGCAAATAGTGTCATACTTTAAGATGGATATCAAACCTCCCTCTTTTTGACTCAGCTTCAGATGCTATTTTGTGTGTTAGAGCCTTCTAGATCATCAGCATATTAAGAAACTTCTCCGATGCTGTCTTAGGTTGTCTGCAGACAGCACATTGAAAACGATGGGCGCCAAAACTGAGTCTCATGGTAGACTGTTCCTGAAGTATTCTGCTGCATTTACCGTCAGATGTTGTGAGTGTAAATGATCTGTCTTGGACAAGGAGCATCATAAAGGTGACCAGCTTCACGTCTGGTATGATGGTGAGCAATTTACAGTATGGGCCTGTGTGCCATACAGATCAAGGAGTAGTAGACCATATTTCTCCTTGTGTTGGAAAGAAGATTTGATGGCGTAGGTGAGTCAAAGGATCTTGTTAGTGCACAATCTGGTTTATGCAACCCTGCCTGTTTCTGTGGTAGATAGCTGGTTCTCTATTGTTAGGCATCCTTTGAAAATTCATGACAGATATGGGTCGGGGAAATGTATCTGCATGACCACAGTATACACTGTACATCATTTTTTTGTAACGAGGTTTGGCCTCGCCCGTTACACAGGGGAGGCGGCTTCGTTGCCTGTCGCGTTTTAGAAAAAGGTCTTAACCTCATGAAGTTGAAACCCAAAATGCTTTCGCCTTTTGCTACTAGAAAACCCGCAAACCAGACTTATCTTTACCACATGCTATTAAAGCCAGAGTCCATCATTTGCAGCTATCCAAAAAGTAACTGGCGTAATTATTGTTCAAAAACATACATGTACTTGGTTGAAAAATAGTAAGGGGACTAAACTCCCTGTGAAATTATTCTTTCTGGCAAGCTGTCATTTTGAAAAATTCAACGAAAGAAGGCCTTTCCAACGGTGCGTCTTAAGAAGCACTGGTAGTTCGTTTTTTTTATTCGGTGATGAGGCGCGCACAAGCGTTGACACGATGCACACGCGCGCATGGTTGCTATAATTCTTTGGATCGGGGCAAGACATCACGTAGCTGCAGTTGGCTCAGTGAGAACGTGTCTCGGACGCTGAATTCAGGCCCAATTCAAAACATGATTCAGCAACTTTTGATTTGAAATTGAGATCCTAGAATGTTGTTTTTCTCGAAATATACAGCTGAAGCTGAGCTGAAACTTCATCAGGTTAGTTGTTCAGCAGCACCCTTCTTTAGATCTTGAGCACTTTTGTTGCTTCAAACGAACAAAATGCACCAATTACAAATGATGGACTATACCTTTAAGTTGTGTATTAAAACAACACATTTTTGTATGCCCATGCATAAACAATTTACTCCTGACCAACAAACACTGGCCACCTTATCTCACACGATAAGCTATCCAATAGCCATAGTGAAAAGCAACCAGGTCATTATTGGTCGGAAATGTACATGTATAGTAGGTGTTGGTTGTTCTCATCCAACACTCATCTGACAAGAATTTTGAAAGGATGCCTTTATTGATGCTGGTTAGAATGACTTGTTCCATTAGCTTGTGTGACATGCACAGATGGAGATGGGTCAATAACTCTTCGGATCGTTTGAATTCTTCTTTGGTTTGAGAATTGGAATGACTTTTGCCTGTCTCCGTATCTTTGTGATGGTTAGGGTATGAAGGCATCTTGGAGAGGAAGAGTCTGAGCCACTGATAGGCTGCGGAAGCTCAGTGAGGGTAGTAGCTCATGGGAGGTTGCTAGATGCAGTTAGGCAGACTTCAGCTGTTTTATTTGGTCATTGACTTGGCAGGGATGAGCCTTTGCCTCTGGGCTGTTATCTTTCCATTTTCCATTTGCGACTCATGATGCTATCGCATTAGCTGTGACTGAACATGGCTTTGGGGCTGAGCTTTTGCCACACAGCTTGTTGATTGTAGCCGAAGCTCTGCGAAACGAAATTAATCGTGCTGATTCCTTCTTCCCTATGTTGATGGCGTCTGTGGTTAAGCAGAGACATCATAGTGCTTTCAGCAATCTTCTTTTCTTCCTGACTGGACGTTAGGTATATGTTTTATGCAGACTTGCATTCAGCGTCCCAGCAGGGTATATGTACGTATCAGTTTCTGTGACCACAAGTTATAGATGATTTAGCAGATGTGATGATCATGGAGTCGAAGGCAACATGTGATTTTGAGATGTCAGATGGAGTAGGCAAATCTTTAGCGAGAGTGTTTGTCATCTCTGAGAATTTTCCCCAATCCGCTTTCCGAAAATTCCAGCGTTTCTTGTTTACGGTAGCTGTAAATAACGGTGTCAGTACATATGATGATTGGGCAATGACGAGATTTGGGGAATTTTTGGAGAACCGTCCGGTTGTGAGTCATGCTAGATGAGATAAAACTGAGATCTAAACATATACCGGTATGGTGCTTGAGTAGAATGTTGCTTGATATTTTGCATCATAATATAGAGACAGTGCTTGGACCTCTGCCTGGCTGGCAATGATAATTTCATTTGCATCGGTTTTGTTGTAATATAACCCCACATTGTGTGTTGGCTATTAAAGTCACCACAGAAGATCTAGGAAACTATGACCAAAGCAAGGGACTGGTGACTTACCACTGTCTTTGGTGGTTTGTAGATGTTAGCAATATGGGTACCTTGTATTTGGGTCACTATCCATTGAATTTCACTATTCAGTGATGATTTGTTGATGATTTTTGCTTCTATACCATGGCGGGCATATATGTTCCATATATCCCATGGTGCTTGTGTGGAAGGAAGTCGACTAGATTAAAACCGTTGATGGGTAAGTTGGTTTCATCTTTGACATGGGTTTCTTGGAGGGTGATGACATTCACCTCCTCTAGATCAGCAATGTATCTGATCATGTCCCTCTTGGCTCTACTGAGCCCTTGGACGTTCAGATGAATGATCTTGGTACTAGCTTTAGGCTCTTCTCAAATAAAACACATAATCCCAGAGATCAAGTGGTTCTTCATAGGAGATGTAGCATAGGTCATATAGGTGAAGAATCGCTACCAGGGATCACCACGAGGAGGTTTCCAGCTTGATCCCCTAGTAAGGTATCTAATAATGATTTTATCAGGCAAGAGTAAAAACGTGATAAGAAAACAGATTCTGGACTGATTTAAAAAGCAACTGAAAGTTTCTTTCTCATACTTAAATACAGATGTTTTAAATTGACTCGATTGGAGTCCGACTGGTAGTCCCAGTCAGCCACTAGCCGAGTCAAATCCAAGCTGAGTCTATAAGGCCATGGGTCTGAGTTGAGTCACGAGTCCAAAAAATGGACTTGAGTCTGAGCTCGTCTGAGTCTGGACTTGAGTCCTTCATCACTGACTTTTTTTTACCAGTGCATTACATGTTTTAGCATACCGTTTTTTTTCCATTTTACATTTCAAGCGATTTCACAATGAAAGTGATCAGGGGTTGAATTTCACAACGACCACGACGGCCAGTTGTTTATGAATATGTTATAATCATGTATCCTTATTCCTGCAAATTGTTGATTGGGTTTACCACCCGCAAGGAGACCTATGGTCATTATTTTATAACTTAAAAAAGATATAATTAGTAGTATCTCATTAAGCTTCCGTGCCCCTTCTGCAGATATTAATAGGCCTTGGTGCCCTACCTACTGGCCTTGGTGCCCTATATAATTTTGCTCCATTTAAGGCCAAAGTAGCCTTGCCCTCAAAATTACCAAGGCCTGGGTGATATATTTTTGGTGTGCCCGGAGAACTTAATAGTCCTCTGAGCAAAGTGGATTTTATCCCGAAACTGTTGCATGCTCTCCTTTAGTTGCTTGCAGACCATTATTAATACTAACAATTTTGTTTTGTTTTCTTGTTGTTTAATCTCACAGCCCGAAGGGGTGGGTGAGCAGTTGCAACAGCTACGGCAGCAGCAATTTCAGCAACAGCAGCAACAGCAGCCACAACATCTGCTGCCGCAACAGCAACAACAACAGCATCAGCAGCAGCAACAGCTGGTGCTGCTACAACAACAGCAGCAGCAGCAGCCGCTGCCGCTACAAGAGCAGCATCACCAGCGACAACTGGTGCCGCAACAGCAACAACAGCGGCAACAGCAACAACCTCGGCATCAGCAGCAGCAACAGCAGCTACAGCAGCAACAGCAGGTGTTGCCACAACAGCAGCAACAGCTGCCGCCGCAACAGCAACAGCTGCCACCACAGCAGCAGCAACAGCAGCGTCGTGAATGGCTACTGCCACAACAGCTGCTGCCACAACAGCAGTATCAACAACATCTGCTGCTGCCGCAACAGCCATATCAGCAACATCTGCTGCCGCAACAACGTCAGCAGCAGCTGCAGCAGCAGCAGCAGCAACAGCAGCAACAGCAGCAGCTGTTGCAGCAACTGCAACAAATGCAGCAGCAACAATTGCAGCAGCAGCAACAGCTGCAGCAGCAGCAATTACAGCAGCAACAGCGACAGCAAAGGCAGCAACGGCAACCGCTGCAGCAGCAGCAAATCCAGCAGCTGCAAGATCAGCTACAGCAGCAGCAATTACAGCAGCAGCAATTACAGCAGCATCAACAGCAGCTTCAACGGGATCATCTGCAGCAGCAGCAATATCAGCAGCTGCAGCAACAGCAGCATTGGCAACAGCAACAGGAGCAATTGCAGCGACGGCAACAGCTTCAGCAGCAACAATTTCAACTGCAGCAACAGCGACAACAGCAGCAGTTGCAACCACTGCAGCAGCAGCGGCCACAGCTGCAGCAGCAGCAGCGGCCACATCTACAGCAGCAGCGACAACAGCTGCAGCAGCAGCAGTCATTGCAGCAGCAGCCATTGCAGCAGCAGCCATTGCAGCAGCAGCCATTGCAGCAGCAACAGCACTTACTGCAGGTGCAACAACAGCAACAACTGCAGCAACAAGAGCAGCGGCAGCAGGAACAAATGAGTAAGGTGTTGTGGCAAGGGCAACTACAATGGGGTGAGGTTAGTTCATTCAATGATTCAACTATACAAATATTTTTAGCTCTGCAGCAGAACTGCCGAACCCAAACTAAAATTAGCCGGACATAGTACTTCTGAACTGCAACATGCACGCACCACCAGTGATACTCAAACATTACGAATCCGAGTTTTAATGCTTGCAATAAATACATAGACATGATAGAAACAGAAAAAAAATATGTACACAGAAAAGATATTGTCCAGTTTTGTGAAATTCCTAGCCAAAATCTTCAGTGTGATATTGTTTCAAAAATATTTGCTTGACATATTTCACGGTGTCGATGTTGTTACCGAGTTAGCTAGTTCCCGTCCTTATACCGTTGCAGTTTATCATTATTTAGCGGGAACCAGTCTATTTGCAAAGCATGCAAGATCTTGCAAGGCGGCCAAACACTAGCAGTTAGCATAGTGTCCACGTCAGGGAAAATTTGTTCACATGTGCTTCATGCGCTCTCAAGCACCATTTTTGTCAAAGAAGTATATGAAAAGGATAATATACCATGGTTTCTTACGTGAAAATGTTGTTGAGATATGTTTTTGGTAAGACCAAATGGGCAATATATATGGACGTGTAGTTCACGTACGAAACTCAACTCTCGTTCAAATTTTGCACTTTTGAGCACTTAAAAGATACCATTTTTTTTTCAATTCGCACTGTAAATCAGTGGCAGTGTGGCATGGTTGGGTCATTCTGGCAATGAAAGAGCCCGTCTGCATGGGCTTGATGCCCACCAATGTTCAAGTGCAAAGAATATTTTCCTATACAGTGGTAGATTTTGTAGAAAAATTTGCCCAGGGAGTTAGGATTAATGTTGTTACTCATGTTCTGTTTGTGTTTCTCTCCAGCGTCCCAAGATGCATGCCCCTGAAGCAAAGATCACACGTACTCACAGGTGCCGTGTGACTGTCAGACCAGACAGCACCATGACAGTGAAGCAATGGCCATCAAAACTTATCATGGAATTTATACCACAGCAACTTTTGGTAAAACACATACTGCAGAGATGAAACTTCAACGATTTTAATCGAAATTCCCGACTTTTTCTAATTTATTTCCAAAAGTCTCATTCTTCTAATGATCTTTTCACCGCTAAGTCTGAATTTTAAATGAAATTCCACCAAACTTGATGAAAACTGCATCGCGACATCTGTATTGCGAATGCATATTTTGTCTGTTTTACCAGTCGTCAGTACACAGATTGTATGGTAGACGCACGTAAGTAAGTCCTGATTGCAGTGATTTTACTGTGTTGTTGCACGTGGAGTTTGACTGGAGTAAAATTTAAATCCACATGTTGTATTGTTTTCGGAGGTGTCGGATTTAGTTGTACAAAGTGCAACGCTTTAAAAATCACGATAATGCAATGCTTTAAAAATCACGATAATGATCTTGGGGATGGTGAAGAGACAAATTTCAGTGCCGGTTGTGGAGTTGTTTGGTTGAATAGTGCACTTGTCTTGGACTTTTTCCTTGACTTTCTCAAGTAAATAGTGAACGTCTTTGTTATTATTATTATTATTATTATTATTAATCATTTCTGGTAATGAAACCAAAGATTCCTCAAAAGCACCCTAGGCACTGTAGCTCGCAAGCCTGAAGAAACCTGTAGAGAGAAGACAATGAGAAGAAATTACAGTTTTAGAGGTGGGAGGAAAAGCCCAGAAGAATATTCTGGGGAAACCCCACGGAATCAGGTAGGGACTGAAAACCCAATCCACATATTGGCCCAGACGGGATTCGAACCCGGGTCACAGCGGTGGAAGGCGGGGCAAGTACCGCTATGCCAACCTGACTCTCCAAAAACGAGTCCGTTACTGTAACCTTAACTGCGGTGTGGCCAAGATTTCATATATACAGGCATTCACAGAGCTAAAACTTCATCAGGTTAGTTATTAAAGGGAATATACAACATTTGCAAACATCGAAAAACAAAACTACATTTAAAAAAAAAAAATGCCTAACTAGGATGTTGGTAAATGCCAGTCTAAAGCATCCTGTAAAATTATGGCACCAGGTGTGAAGTCATTTTCAAGAAAAGTGGTATTTTGTATAAATTTCCAACGGTGGTCGGCTGACCACCATTGGAAAAACCTAACTATTTTTCAGCTACTGCTCTAAATTTACCATTTTTTTTAGTCAAAATTTTGTTTGCTATTGGTTACATGTTCATGAACGGGTGCAGGCCAGCTAGACTGGTTCTATTACCTTACAAATTTCCAGCATCTATAAATTGATCCATTTTATCTTTAGTGGAGTCAGGGAACCAGACTTCTTGAACATTTTTGTTTTTCTTGGTTTTTCCAGCATTTTCGATCACAAAACTTCAAACATGTCAGTGGAACAATATTTGATCTATTAAACTAACCCCTCAAATAGTTCATTTCTGAAAATTACAGCAAAAGCCAATGATGTACATTCCCTTTAAGCATCAGTCTTTATAGATTTTGAGCACCTTTGTTGGTTCAATTAAAAAAAATAATAAGGATGTGACGTTTACACATTTAAACGTTTAAATGAAAAACTTGTAAATCCGTTGACATATTTTCCAAAACCTTCGTTTCCGCGATCTGCCATTGACCTGTACTTTTTGTACATGTACATTTATTTTTCAAATTGTTTTTAATCTCATTTACTTTATAAAGTATTGGAAGAGCCACACTACTGGATTACATTCCGGGTAGTTGAGTTTATACTTTATCAATCCCTGCCCACTATCTATTAGGCCAATCATATACAATGTAAACAGTTAAATACTGTGTTTGACGTTTTCAGTGACCTAGCGTTCCCCCCAAAATACTGTAAATCTGAGTGTCTTGATCTTTTCCATACAAGAAAACGCTGATGGGATTCTATTTTCATTGTGTGCACCCTTTTTTTCATAGAAACTACTATTCCAAAGTCTTAGAAACAAAAAGCCCACGAAAAATAAATTTATCCTAGTACTGAAAATAAAAATCTTCCAGTGAGTGTGATTGCCAGCCCCATTGTCCACATTGATACAACTTATCTCCTGATCATAACCAAGTATCTCTTCAGTTCAGCTTTGAGTCTTTGAGATTTATGGAATGTTTTTCGCTTGTTTTGAAGCGATTAGAATTTTGTTATGCGAAAGGACAGCTAGCCCATTTCGAATGATCTATTACATTTTTGTAGATAAAGTTTCAGATGCTGATTGTTCACGTACATACATGTACATGTACATGTATGTATACACGTGTATAGGCCCACAAACATGCTAGACTACAAACATATGTGGGAAGGTTCAGCCTTTGTGAAATGACTAAATGTTTAAACGTTTCTTAAAATATTTGCTAAATGTTTACAAATCACATCCTTACAAAGTACAAAAGGTCTACTCTACCTTTAATGTAAGAAGACTTACATGTACACAAGGGCTTGAGAACTCACTTGGTAGAGCATTAAATATCTTATGCTGAAATCCCACTTTAAATTTTTTTTATTCAACCAGTGCATTTTTTTAATTTGTTGTTCTCTGAATGCAGCAAGGATTGAGTACGTTACTGTGTAGCTCTCAACAAGTTGGCTTCCAGTTTCCTGAGCAAGGCAATGATTCCGATGCTATGACAGCTCTGATGAAAGTCATGCAAGGCGGTTGTGTAAGTTTTCAATTATACATGTATTTGGCTTTTCCGGACAACATCCAGAGAAGCCTTTGTTTTTCTTTTGATTTTGTTTTCTTTTTTCTTCCTTTTTTTCTTCTGTCCCAAATCCCATAGACTTTGTACACATTTGTTGCTGAGGGCCACTTTTGATTGAAAACAAAGTCTAAAATACCGTTGAGATAAACCATTTTGACTTTTGTCGTGTTCATAAAATTTGACCAAAAATCGGTCATGTTGAACTGACGGATTTCCTTTAAACGATTACGGAGTGAAAATCCCTTTGATGATCCTTTCAAGGAATAAAAACAAAATGTTAATAAAGTGTTTTCACAAAATAGATCGATAGGGGTGTCATTGAAGGTGCTACTTCATGGTGAACCACTTGTTTGATTTTTTTTAATGTCGCAGATGTATCGTCTTTAGTTTTTCTGTATTTTAATTGGAAAAACACTATTTAGATCTTTGGTGGGTGATCGAATTTTGAATGTTCAGTTTATTGGCACAGCCCTAATATGAACACTAAATTTCCTGGGGATCGATGCTAACATTAATCAACTATCTGAAACTTCATTGCATCCAAATTGTTGTCCACAGACTGGTCTCGTACATTTCTCCACCGATGCTGCCTGCAACATTCCTATTTTGATACTGACGTACTCCCAATGCAAGTCCGTGTTCAACGGCTTTATCCCCAGTGACCAGGCTGGATTCATCATGAAGTACCAGCTGCTCAAGAAGAAACAGAAAAAGATAAATCAGTTGTACAGGGCGCGACATCACATGGTAAGAACGGAAAAGTGGGCTTCTAAAGGTTATTTCTGACATGATTTTTGAATTCCTTTTTTTTGTTTGGGTTTATTTTTTTGTTAGGGGATACCTTGCATTGATATTAATTTGGTATCTCGGCACAAAATGTGCAAATTATTAAAGGGACACTCTAGGTCCTGGAACAGCCCATTGGGCTACAAAACGCGCTTTGAACGAGATGATGTTAATCGGAAATAACATTTAAAAGTAGAATATGAACATCCACACAAGTATCCTTTCAAAATTGAGCATTTTTTTTCTTATTCCTGTATTATGCGTGCCGGGTCCACTTTTGCAACCCCATAAATTTGAGCTGTTTCGATGCTAGTTGTGATTTCATTCGTAAAGTGTTCGCCTTTTGCGGACTTGAAGAAACCCTTTTTTTTTGCATTGGTGATTGGTCATCGCTGTTCCCGAGACACACAGCGTGTATATCGTACACTAAGAACGACACAAAAAACATATTCCTACTTCGTCATGTCCGGTGTAAACAAGCGTTTTTTTTTTGTCTTTTCTCGGGAACGGTAAGACATTAGGGTTGGTTTCCTTTCAACCACATTTGGGGGATTTCAGGACCTAGTGCCCCTTTAAAGGCTAAATTCTTTGGCACAGTTTTGATTATGGTGCACTTCCTATGTCATTAATAAAAGGTTCAATTGTGCAATATAATTGTTTAACATATTTTTTTGCTGGAAGACTTAAAATCGTTCTTCAAAACGTGTAACTGAAAACTTATAATACTGGCCGAAAGGTTATCCTTCTTTTGGATAGAGAAAAGGATTTCAGTCAAGTGTATGCTCAGGGACATGAAAAATAATGCTAGTCACATGACGTGGTTGGAAGCCGTATTTGGAAGTCTGTTGCTGCGATTAAAGTTTGTAACTCTTTGTTTGTTCAGGGCAGTTGGCCAGACATTCCAAACAGGGTAAAACACAGTAGCAGCAGTTACAGCAATGACTGCAGCAACGACAGCAGCAACAGCAATGACTGCATGAACAGCAGCAATGACAGCAGCGACATCAGCAGCATCAGCAACGACTGCATCAACAGCAGCAATGACAGCAGCGACATCAGCAGCATCGACAGTGACAGCAGCAATAGCAGCAGTGACAGCAGCAGCCAGCTGTCATTCAACGGCAACAGCTCCACCTCTAACAACCCCAGCAACCAATCATGATGCAGCAACATCAACAGCCAGTCTTATCATCGAGTACATAAGTCATTTCACAAGTAAACGGGATAAACAGTAACTGAATTGAATATAATTGAAGGTTTTTATTGTTCATACCATTCTGGCAGTCCAAGGACTGAATTGCGATGGCTTACAATTTACAATATGACAGAAATCATTTTAAAAGGACTTTTTATACATATATCAAACACTGAAATATTCTAAAAAGACATATTTATACATACATGTGCATTAAAAATGTAACCCCCTTAATAACAAAGGAATAAAGTAATGACAAAGGAATGCTGTTGCCACAGACTATTTGAAAAGCTTGAGATGGAAGGACTTGTGATGGACATTACTATTCACCGTAGCTGTGGTTATGTCATACGCCGCTGAGGTAGAGTGGTGGAGACGACCCGCGTGACGTCACACTTCAACGGCGTATACAACCACAGACACGGGTTACCCAGCAACAGTTGTCATGGCAAACCACCCGTTTGTCATAAAGTTATGTTTGCTTGGCAAGTCATATAATGTTTAAAAAGGATTTTTTTGAGGGGGGGGGGGTACTTTAAAGATCAGTCACATCAATGTGCCGGACTATGACCACCCTTGAGGATTCTACATATTTGAAATAATCTCAACATCGAAAATTAAATATGGGGAGGTCATAAAACAATCACAGTAGTAAAAAAGCTCTCCTAAAGTCCATAAGGAAAACAGTTGGGGAAAATTGTTGCATCCTGATGCCACTTTTTTGGTCATATATTATCTCTATGAAGGTCAGTTATTGCAAAAATGATGATAAGACATGAATCTGGCACCGAGATATATTTCCAATTTTGTTAGAAAATACTTTGAAAATGCACTCAATTTCCCACAAACTTTATACACAACCACAGAAGTGGCGTCAGGATGCTACAATGTACATTCTTTCCTAAAACCGGAAAGGTACACAAACATTTTCAAGTTTATTCAACATTCTTACTTACAGATTTTCAAAAAACTTGAATAGAAAATCCGTTCTTTTGTTGGTTACTGACAGAAGCAGTAGGCCAATATCCACTGCGTTTTGAAAACAATAAAATCTACCTAAAAAGTAAGTATATTGACTGTCAGATTTCACTGTAAATTGGGGCAATCAGGTGTATTTCCCAATTGTAATTGGAAGAGTTACTGTTTTTCAAGCATCATTTCAGTGTTCCAAATCGTTAGATAGTTTCGTTTATTTTGCCCAGAGTAAACTACAAATTATTGATTAAATCCCTGTATAACAGGATACGTACACAGCAGCTGATATAAATTTACCTTTTATTTTCAAATGAAAAAAAAGAGTTTTATTTGTTCTTAAATTGAATACGAAAAGTATAGTCTTTCTTCATCTTTATACGGTGTATTTTTACTATATATTGTGTAAACCGTTTCACTACACAAATCAGTTGGAATAAATACCCAGAGTACTGAGGCAAACGAATACGTAAACCGTTTTGATTTCTGTATTTTTCAAGTGTATGTCCCTGCCTTCCAATTACCACGCAAAGAAGCGAAAAGATGCTTGAATTTAAACTTATCCCTTATTTCCCATGTTTCATTTTCCCTTGTACAGAACGATACCACGAAATTAACTAAGTCGATTTAAATATCCAATTCATAGTTTCGTCATGGTAAATCTGCCTAGCCTTAAGCTTAAAGACTATAGACTAGTCTTGAGTTCCAATTAAAGATTTATAACCAAGTCCAAAACGGTGCCCAACTGGAATTTGGCGGGGAAGTGCTGTTTCCTCCGCTTGAATCAAGAGCTCTGGGGCGGTATTTAGTTTCATTCCAAATGAATTGATTCTAAGGGTTTTATAAATAGGAAGTGTACCCGGTACTACCAATCGGTAAGCGGGCGACCCTGGTTCGAGTCCTGGCCGCGGCAACCCGGACTGGCTGCAGGGAAACCTGCGGCGGGTCCGAGTTCTGTATCGCTCGTCTACCCCAACTATATAAAATAAAATAAAATAAAATAAAATAAAATAAAATTGAATTTTACTCTTTTTAATGTCAATAAATATAAGTAAAAAGTAATACTGGGAACTCGGTGGGATTCGAACCCACAACCTCTCGGTTAAGCGCTAGGGTGCCTACTACTAGGCCATCGCGCTCTTCCTGCTTGATATAGTTGGAATTAAAATATAAAGGTTAGGATTGGAATTGCACAATAAAAAAAAGAAGTCTTGAATGCACCAAAAATAAAAAAATGCCCCTAAACGAAATAGAATGCCCTAAAACGAAAAGGGAGTTAATATCAAAATCTCGGGTGCCGAAAAATGGAAATTGAATGCCTCAACAATGAAAGAGAAACCCAAATACACCTCCATGTTCTTACACCCCTATGTTCCGACACCCCTATGTTCCGACAACTCAACCTATGTTTTGATACTTTATGTTCCGACATAATGTTCCGACTGCACATATTCTTATCCCTAACCCTAACCCTAAACCTAACCCTAACCCTCACCGAGAGTAACACCATCTTATGCGCATGTTGTCGTACACGGGGGTGTTGAAATAGGGTGTTAGAAATGGAACATAAGTGTGTCGGAACATACGGGTGGTCGGAACATAGCAGTCACCCCAATGTGATCAGAGATTTAAAACTCACGCGAAATCGAATATGGCTGATAATGAAAATGACCAGAACAATTCGAAAATTGGCCGGGAAAACCTTTAATATATAGATTTTTTTTAGTTTAGGACCATGTTCTAGTCCGATTGACTTGGACCCTAACGGTGCGGCCGCATCGACAGAGCAAGTGGAAACGTAAGTCTATCGATACGTTTTAGCACAGACTGTTGAGGAAGAGAACAACAATATTTTGTCTTAATCTTCTGTCTAGTTTGTCTATTTTTCATGATAAATTACCTGGCCACCGTTCAATTTAATGCATTACTTAATTTTTGAGATAGTTTGTCGACAAGGACTATCGTTTTCGAGGAAAATGTGTGGGAAATGGTCTGTTTGGACTGGGACTGCACTCTCGCCCAGTTTTCCTCGGCGTTTACACAAGACACTGTTGAGGGAGAGAACAAAAATATTTTGCCTAAATCTTCTGTCTAATTTGTCTATTTGCCATGATAAATCACCTAGCCAACGTGCAATTTAATGCATTACTTTATTTTTGAGATAGTTTGTCCACCAGGACAATCGTTTCCGAGCAAAAAGTGTGGAAAATGGTCTGTTTGGACTGGGACTGCATACTCTCGCCCAGTTTTTCTCCGTGTTGACACAAGACACTGTTGAGAGAGAGAAAAACAATATTTTGTCTAAATCTTCTGTCTAGTTTGTCTATTTTTCATGATAAATTACCTGCCTAACGTTCAATTAAATGCAATACTTAATTTTTGAGATAGTTTGTCGTCCATGACTATCGTTTTCGAGGAAAATGTGTGGAAAATGGTCTGTTTGGACTGGGACTGCACTCTCGCCCAGTTTTTCTCCGCGTTTACACAAGACACTGTTGAGGGAGAAAACAACAATATTTTGTCTAAATCTTCTGTCGAGTTTGTCTATTTTTCATGATAAATTACCTGCCTAACGTTCAATTTAATGCATTACTTAATTTTGGAGATAGTTTGTCGTCCATGACTATCGTTTCCGAGCAAAAAGTGTTGAAAATGGTCTGTTTGGACTGGGACTGCATACTCTCGCCCAGTTTTTCTCCGTGTTGACACAAGACACTGTTGAGAGAGAGAAAAACAATATTTTGTCTAAATCTTCTGTCTAGTTTGTCTATATTTCATGATAAATTACCTGGCCACCGTTCAATTTAATGCATTACTTAATTTTGGAGATAGTTTGTCGTCCATGACTATCGTTTCGAGCAAAAAGTGTTGAAAATGGTCTGTTTGGACTGGGACTGCATACTCTCGCCAAGTTTTTCTCCGTGTTGACACAAGACACTGTTGAGAGAGAGAAAAACAATATTTTGTCTAAATCTTCTGTCTAGTTTGTTTATTTTTCATGATAAATCACCTGGCTAACGTGCAATTTATTGCAATACTTAATTTTTGAGATCGTTTGTCGTGCATGACTATAGTTTCCGAGCAAAAAGTGTGGAAAATGGTCTGTTTGGACTGGGACTGCATACTCTCGCCCAGTTTTTCTCCGTGTTGACACAAGACACTGTTGAGAGAGAGAAAAACAATATTTTGTCTAAATCTTCTGTCTAGTTTGTCTATTTTTCATGATAAATCAGCTGACTAATGTTCAATTTAATGCATTACTTAATTTTTGAGATAGTTTGTCGACCAGGACTATCGTTTTCGAGGAAAATGTGTGGAAAATGGTCTGTTTGGACTGGGACTGCACTCTCGCCCAGTTTTTCTCCGCCTTTACACAAGACACTGTTGAGGGAGAGAAAAATAATATTTTGTCTAAATTTTCTGTCTAAATTGTCTATTTTTCATGATAAATTACCTGGCCACCGTTCAATTTAATGCATTACTTAATTTTTGAGATAGTTTGTCGACAAGGACTATCGTTTTCGAGGAAAATGTGTGGGAAATGGTCTGTTTGGACTGGGACTGCACTCTCGCCCAGTTTTCCTCGGCGTTTACACAAGACACTGTTGAGGGAGAGAACAAAATATTTTGCCTAAATCTTCTGTCTAATTTGTCTATTTGCCATGATAAATCACCTAGCCACCGTGCAATTTAATGCATTCCTTTATTTTTGAGATAGTTTGTCCACCAGGACAATCGTTTCCGAGCAAAACGTGTGGAAAATGGTCTGTTTGGACTGGGACTGCATACTCTCGCCCAGTTTTTCTCCGTGTTGACACAAGACACTGTTGAGAGAGAGAAAAACAATATTTTGTCTAAATCTTCTGTCTAGTTTGTCTATTTTTCATGATAAATCAGCTGACTAATGTTCAATTTAATGCATTACTTAATTTTTGAGATAGTTTGTTGTGCATGACTATCGTTTCCGAGGAAAGTGTGTGGAAAATGGTCTGTTTGGACTGGGACTGCACTCTCGCCCAGTTTTCCTCCGCGTTTACACAAGACACTGCTGAGGGAGAAAACAACAATATTTTGTCTAAATCTTCTGTCTAGTTTGTCTATTTTTCATGATAATTCACCTGGCTAACGTTCAATTTAATGCATTACTTAATTTTTGAGATAGTTTGTCGACCAGGACTATCGTTTTCGAGGAAAATGTGTGGAAAATGGTCTGTTTGGACTGGGACTGCACTCTCGCCCAGTTTTTCTCCGCCTTTACACAAGACACTGTTGAGGGAGAGAAAAACAATATTTTGTCAAAATTTTCTGTCTAGTTTGTCTATTCTTCATGATAAATTACCTGCCTAACGTTCAATTTAATGCATTACTTAATTTTTGAGATAGTTTGTCGTCCATGACTATCGTTTTCGAGCAAAAAGTGTGGAAAATGGTCTGTTTGGACTGGGACTGCATACTCTCGCCCAGTTTTTCTCCGTGTTGACACAAGACACTGTTGAGAGAGAGAAAAACAATATTTTGTCTAAATCTTCTGTCTAGTTTGTCTATTTTTCATGATAAATTACCTGCCTAACGTTCAATTAAATGCAATACTTAATTTTTGAGATAGTTTGTCGTCCATGACTATCGTTTTCGAGGAAAATGTGTGGAAAATGGTCTGTTTGGACTGGGACTGCACTCTCGCCCAGTTTTTCTCCGCGTTTACACAAGACACTGTTGAGGGAGAAAACAACAATATTTTGTCTAAATCTTCTGTCTAGTTTGTCTATTTTTCATGATAAATTACCTGCCTAACGTTCAATTTAATGCATTACTTAATTTTTGAGATAGTTTGTCGTCCATGACTATCGTTTCCGAGCAAAAAGTGTTGAAAATGGTCTGTTTGGACTGGGACTGCATACTCTCGCCCAGTTTTTCTCCGTGTTGACACAAGACACTGTTGAGAGAGAGAAAAACAATATTTTGTCTAAATCTTCTGTCTAGTTTGTCTATATTTCATGATAAATTACCTGGCCACCGTTCAATTTAATGCATTACTTAATTTTGGAGATAGTTTGTCGTCCATGACTATCGTTTCCGAGCAAAAAGTGTTGAAAATGGTCTGTTTGGACTGGGACTGCATACTCTCGCCAAGTTTTTCTCCGTGTTGACACAAGACACTGTTGAGAGAGAGAAAAACAATATTTTGTCTAAATCTTCTGTCTAGTTTGTTTATTTTTCATGATAAATCACCTGGCTAACGTGCAATTTATTGCAATACTTAATTTTTGAGATAGTTTGTCGTCCATGACTATAGTTTCCGAGCAAAAAGTGTGGAAAATGGTCTGTTTGGACTGGGACTGCATACTCTCGCCCAGTTTTTCTCCGTGTTGACACAAGACACTGTTGAGAGAGAGAAAAACAATATTTTGTCTAAATCTTCTGTCTAGTTTGTCTATTTTTCATGATAAATCAGCTGACTAATGTTCA